ACCCTGGAACCCTTGGAACCCTTGGAACCCTGGAAACCTTGGAACCCTGAAACCGTGGGACCCTGGTACCCTGGAACCTTGGAACCCTTGAAACCCTAAAACTTCCAAACCCTAACCTCTATGCGCGCTGCGCGCGCTGCATGCAATAAAGTAAACCCTAAAACTTCCAAACCCTAAACCCTAATGCGCGGTGCGCGCGCTGTGTCCCAGAGAAGTAAACCCTAAAATTTCCAAACCCTAAACCATCGTGTTATGCAACTTCCAAACCCTAAAGTTTAACCCGCGGTGTGCGCGCTGCATGCAATAAAATAAACCCTAAAACTTCCAAACCCTAAACCCTAATGCGTGCTGTGCGCGCTGCGTGCCAGAGATAAACCCTAAAACCTTCAAACCCTAAACACTAATGCGCGCTGCGCGCGCTTTGTGCAATAGAAATAATCCCTAAAATCTTCAAACCTGAAACTCTCGTGTCATAGAGGTAAACCCTAAAATTTCCAAATCCTAAACCCTAAACCCTAACGCGCGCTGCGCGCGCTGTGTGCCATAGAAGTACCCCTTAAAATCTCCAAACCCTAAGCCATCGTGTCATGGAGGTTAACCCTAAAACTTCGAAACCCTAAAGTTCAACCCACGCTGTGCACGCTGCATGCAATAAAATAAACTATAAAACTTCCAAACCCTAAACCCTAATGCGCGCTGCGCGCACTGCGTGCCACACACATAAACCCTAAAACTTTCAAACTTTAAACCGTAACGCGTACTGCGCGCACAGCCTGCCATAGAGGTAAACGGTTAAACTTTCAAACGCTGCGTGCCATAGAGACAAAGCCTAAAACTTTCAAACGCTAAACCGTAAAGCAGGCTGCGCGCGCTGCGTGCCATAGAGTGCTCCTCCAAAGTGATTACATGTCATACTTGAGTGGCATCCTCCAAATTCATTAGTCAGCCTTTGTTAATCCAGGGCCCATTTTACACATGTCATCTTCTTGGTCGTGGCGCCATTTCAGGATCACACTGATGACCTAAGCTTTGGCCTTAACTATTATGCAGGCAAGCGACATCAGCACGCTATGGTATTGGAAGACACAGGGTTTGCCCGTAGACCAGCCAAAAAATCGATTTTCCACACTGAACAATTGGATTTAACACATTTAGAATAGGAGCTCCGCCTGATTCAGATTTCACTTAAAAGGTACCCATGCCTGACTAGCCTTCATGACTTAAAGCGTAACCACACCCGACTTAAGGGAACCATGCCTGACTAGCCTTCATAATTAAGAGGTACCCACCCACGCCTGACTTAACAGAACCCATGCCTGACTAGCCTTCATGATTAAAAGGTACCCATGCCCTGAATTCAGGGAACCATGCCTGACTAGCCTTCACAATTAAAAGGTACCCACTGGAACCATGCCTGACTAGCCTTAATGACTTAAAAGGTAACTACACCTGACTTAATACCTGATTTACTGGTTTTGCCTGATTTTGGAAAAACGCAGGGCCGGAATTTGCAGGGCGCGGGCCGGAATTTGCCGGGCCCGGGCCGGAATTTGCCGGGCTGGGATTTTGGGGTCGTGCCTAAATAGGATTTTTGCAAAAATCGTGCATGACTGAAGGGAACCATGCCTGACTAAACATCATACCAATCATCCCAAAAGAATCCAATAATTCCAGCAAGTGATGCCTGACCAATCCCTGCGTCATAATAAACCGTCTGCCCCTCCCCACCCAATAATGAACACACGGAATAGTTTTTTTGTATTTAGTGGGTATTTAGTATGAGGGTGCGAAACTTCCCCCTTGGTTAAAAAAACTAAATTGGAAAACATTTTTTAAATAACATCTAACTAAAATATTGCCAAAATTGGATTCCGAAGCTTCCCCCTGACATTAAATTGAAAACATTCGTTTTAAAAAAATGAACTTTATATTTCAAAACCGATTGAATTCCTATTCAAAATCTAACTCAAATCTTGCCAAATTGGATTTCGAAGCTTCCCCTTATATTAAATTGAAAACCTTACTAATCCCCACCTCCTTTTACTAAACGTACCCTAAATACTAAAATATTACATTGATTCCTTTTACTAGGGTCCGCGTTAAATTTTGGGAAATTTCAGGCTGGCCAGTTTGACTTTTAATTGATACCTTTTCAAAAACAAATTAAACATGAAGGTCCCATTTCAGGATTTCACCACCAAAAAATAAAAACTAGTCAGCCCCGGTGATTTTTTAAACTAGGGTCTTTTAAGGTCGAAAAAATAAGTATTTTATATTACAACGTTTATATAATATTGGGGGAAAACTTCGAAATCCACTTTTTGGCATTTCCTGGCAATATTTTTGCTGGATGTCAAAAGGAAATCTAATCGATTCTTGAAATCGAAAAAACATAGTTTTTTTTTTAAATTAGTGTTTTTAATTTAATCTTAGGGGAAAACTTCGAAATCCAATTTTTAGCAATATCTTAATTATATGTTAAACAGAAAACTAATCGATTTTGAAACAGTTTTTTTTAAATATATTAGGGCTGGTAATTTAATATTAGAGGAAACATTTCGAAATCCGGTTTTTGTTTTTTTTTTGTTACTACAATTTAAAAGGAAATCGAATCGATTTCAAAAAAGAAAAAATAATATTTTATATTAGGGGTTTTTAATGTAATATTAGGGGAAAACTTCAAAATCCAATTTGTGACCATATTCTAATTAGATTTCAAAAGGAAATCTAATGAATTTTGATATAGAAAAAATAGTCTTTGATATGAGGGTTTAATATGAGGGGAAAGCTTCGAAATCCAATTTCTGGCAATATCTTAATTTGAATTTACAAGGAAATCTAATCGATTCTGAAATAGAACAAATTTAGTTTTTTATATTGGAATTTTTCATGCAAGATTAGGGGAAGCATCGAAATCCAATTTTTGAACATATTTTAATAATTGGATTTTAATTTGATATTAGGGGAAAGCTTCAAAATCAATTTTTTGTTTTTTTCATTAGATTTCAAAAGGAAATCTAATCGATTTTGAAACAGGAAAAAAACAAAATGATATTAGGGTTTAATATAAGGGAAAAGCTTCGACATCCAATTTTTTGGCCATATTTTATTTAATTTTTAAAAGGAAATCTAATCGATTTCGAAATAGAAAAACATACATAGTTTTTTATGTTGGGGGTTTTTATTTGATATTAAGCTTCGGAATCCACTTGTTTGCCATATTTTAATTGGATTTAAAAAGAAAGAAATCTGATCGATTTTGAAATAGAAATATGTGTATATATATATATGTGTGCGTGTTTTTTATCAGTATTAGGGGGAAGCTTCGTACCCTAATACTAAAGACCCCCCCAATACTAAAAACTCCTCCAGGTGTTTGTTATTTGGGTGGGTGGGTGAAGGGGCGACTGTTTAGCAACAGGGGGAAGGGATTAAACCGTTTTTTGTTTCTAATTTCAAAATCCATGAAAATAATCTTTAAATAGAATACTGCCAAGAATAGGATTTCGAAGCTTTCGCCTAGTATCAAATAAAACACCAACACCTGAATTAAAAAAACTAAAATTGACGATTTTAAAGGACGGACCCCAATAAAAGACACCCCGGTGTTGACTAGTTTTTTATTCTTTGGGGGTGAAACCCTCACATGGTACCTTCATTTTTAAAATTGTTTCCTCAAGGGGATCAATTAAAAATCAGATTAACCAATTTGACATTTCCCAAAATTGGAAATCGCACCTAGTTTTTGTCATTTGGGGGTATTGTTCGTAATAGGGAGAAAGGATTAGCAAAAAGAATGCCTGATCAAAATAATGCTGATTCTGTGTGTTACAATCTTTTTGCCCACTACAGTGTCTACAGGGTTACAAGGGATGCCGTGCCAGCTAGAGTCCCAAGTCCATTCAACCAACACCCTAATCGATGAAGTTGGACTTGTTGAAATGGAAGTGGGACTGGACCAGTTGACATGGGGCGATGCTGACCGCTTCGGCGCCTGAAGGACAACAGTTTGAAAATTCCGAACCTGAAATATATTTTCAAAATTGCCTTACTAAGAGTGATCCCCACCCTGACACACTATTCTGACATAGTTTCTGACATATCATCTGGACGTATATGTGGCACATATGTTCTGACATACTATCTTACATTCTTTTCTGAGATTCTATTTGACATTCTTTCTGGCATCCTATCTGGCATCTATTCTGACATACTTTCTGGAATATACTATATTCTGATCCTGCCTTGCCATGAGTTTGGGCTGGGAGTGCTTTTATCTGCGTGGATCAATGCCAATGGCTTGAATATCCCCCAAATGTTGGTTTCACATGTTTGCACCCAATGATTGCCATTACCATTGATACCCCAAAATGGCCAGGTCCTGAATTTGAGAGTAGGTCCTGAAAAGTTTTCTGGGTGCTGAAAAAACAGGATTTTGGCACAGGGTCTGAAAAAAGACGTAGGTGGAAGATTCAGGTATGCTGTTGGGTTGCAAAGCTGGGTTAATGTTGATTATATGGTGACTGGAAGTCTTAGCACCGCAAGTTTGATCAGACTCACTTTATAGACATATGAAATATCCATCAAATCTTTAGATGACCTTTTATGAATTTTAATGTTCTCTTAATTAATTGTTGGCTGAACGGCGAGTCTTGTTGGTCAAATCCAAAATTTATCAAGAGGTTGGTTTCAGCGAAAATCTAAAGGAAGCCATGGATTTACGCCCCAGAAATGGACGCGCCTTTCAGGGGTCCAAATAGGGTACCTCATCTGTTTTTTCATATCCAATCTCATATCCAATCCTCACAATATTCCCATCATTAAGATACTATCTCATTTTATGCAGTTACTGCTGTTTGTTTTACCAGTTTTGATGTTTTCTCATCCTTTTCCCGGCTTTTTGAACAGAATTTCATGTTCACCGGTTTTTTTCCTCATGATTTCATGGCCATGACATGCCATGACTTTGGGTATCCATGGTGTGCCCATGGCGTTTTCGCAGGTCATGAGCCGTGCCATGCCCACAGAGACTGGCGCCTTACCCGTGGCCACAGGCATTTCTCGAGGGGGGCTTCAAGGTGACAAAATTAGGCTTAATTTATAGAGGTGACCCTCCAGTCAATAAATGGATATACAATGGGATACTAGTGGGACATACGTATATGTATATATATATACTTTATACATATATATATATGTATATATATATGTAAATATGTATATATATGTATATACTCGTATGTGCTGGATTATCGGGATTCACCATGAACTTTTAGTATTACCCTCCAGTAAACGAACATAGCTATGGAAACCATGGACCATGTAGATTGATGATTTAGCTATTAAACTCGTGTTTTCCCCATAGTTATGTTACTTTAACAAAGGTTTATCTATGTCATTCCCATCGATTAATAAGAGGGATATATAGAGTTGATATATTAGTTTTAATTGAGTATGATGATGACCATTTCCCCATAAATATGGATGATCAGTGACGGTTAATAAAGGTTAATGCTAGTTAATGGTGGTTAATGATCGTATTTTGTTTTTTGTTAGAGTTCACCCTTTTCGGGTGATGACCCCCTGATGAATGATTTTCAGGGGTTCGAACCAACAACAAGCAAACAAAAAATCTGTGATGATCCACTCCTGGCTTCGATGCTATGGTTTGCTATGCGATATCCCTGAAACCAATCCATGAGGTTTACTTGCAGAATTCACCACGGAAGCACAAAAAAGACACATTTCGCTTCAAATTTACTGCCAGTCGACTTCGGAGTAAGCTGCCAGTAAACCGCCAGTAAACTGCCAGTAAACTGCCAGTAAACTGCCAGTAAACTGCCAGCAAACTGCCAGTAAACTGCCAGTTAAAGCATCAAAAAGCTCAAGCAGCTGCAGAGGTATCGAGAATGAAAGCAAAGTGTTCAACCATCTCTTGGGTTCCGAAGGCTGGATCTGGGGCAGAAGGGGCAGAATTTTTCCCCGGTTCCGCCGGTTCCCCCCCCTTTTGGACCATTTGGTGATGGTGATGGTGAAGATTGGGTGCAAGGGTTAATCATGGACAGTTAATGAATAGAAAGGAATTACAATAGGGTATATCACATTTAAATCACATTTAAATCACATTTAAAGGTTAATCATAGGTTCGAAAAAATGGCTTCTCATTCTCTTCATGTTTTTTACTCATTGGACATCAGGCTCATTGGTGGTATCGAAGGTGATGGCGCAGAAAGGCCAATCCATGTCGGAAGTTGAGCGGGGTCAAAGCTACCAATTTTGCTGGATTTTGGGATCCCCCCATTTTGAGAAATATATATATATATACACACCTGCACATAGATGCACACATATGTAAAAAACATATTATCTATATGTCAATATATGTATCATCTATCTCTACGTATTTCCTCATATCCAACATGGACGGCTTATTGTGACCAGGACATCCAAACCTCGTGGAGCTGCTAGGCCGCAGACCGAGCCGGGGGGATTGGTTCAGTTGAATCCCCATGAGACTGCAACAATTAGATAATCTCTGGTTGGTGGTTTGGAAGGACATGCTACGCAACAAGATGGGATGGATTTTTGCTGGTTGGTGGTTTGGAAGATGAATTATATTTTTCCATTTATTGAGGAAATGGGATTTATAATATTTATTAATCTGGTTGGTGGTGACTGGAACCATGGAATTTTATGAAGTTCCAGAAACAGTTGGGAATGGAATCATCCCAACTGACGAACTCATATTTTTCAGAGGGGTAGGTATACCACCAACCAGATATCATATCAAACATGGCTGGGAAATCCAATAGAAATGGGCATTGAATGAGGGATGATATATCTATATAATATTATATCTCTTTGCATAATCCTCCCTTTCGAGATGGTCCATTGACTCAATAAACAATCCCCGCATGCGCCCGAAGGGGGCCGATTCCTGATAGTCGAGTGGTAGTTGGCAGGACAGTTATCTCTCAGCGTAGCAGCGTCATTAGACTTGGCGATTTGCATTTAAGGGGATTTGTAGTGGTGACCCCAAAATTTCATTTCATGCTGGTTGGTGGTTTCAAACATTTTTTATTTTCCATAATATATGGGATAATCCTTCCCATTGACTAATATTTTTCAAGATGGTTATTGCACCACCAACCAGCATGTCATTTCTGTTGTCCAGATCCAAATTTTTGCCGCGAAACCTAAAAAAAAGGTCCCCATTTTTGCTGATGCAACCCACCGTGCGTTGCTTCAATCTTTGATTGCTTCAAACCATTTCCTCCAATCTCTTTGGCCTCAACATTTGCAAGATTTGAAGGATACTTTCGGCTGATTCAACATGTTCAAGCCTGTTTCAATTCCCATTTTTCATCCTCTTCATCATGTTTCATCATGTTTTCCTTCTTTTCACCTGATTGTACTTGATTTCTTCATGACTTTTCCACACAACTTTCATCTTTCACCCTATTTTTCACCCATTTTCGTTGACTTTTCACCATTTTTCCCATGTTTTTTCCACATCTTTGGTCCCTTTCCAGCCGTTGGCTCAGCGCAGGCTGCTTCGAGGGCTCCGGAATTGAGGCGGTCTCGGCCTTAGGCCTGGAGCTGCCGCAAGCGGAGGCGGGGTCATTTGGGAAGGATGGAGACTGGGGGAAGACTGGGTACCCTCTGGTAATTTAACAAAGCTATTGAAAATGGCCATTTATAGTGGATTTTCCCATTAAAAATTGTGATTTTCCATAGTTATGTTAGTTTACCAGAGGGTAACTGCCTATAAATCCCAGTAATTACCTGGGTTAATAACCTGTTAATCCCAGTAATTAGCATTATTACTATTATTACCATTAATCCCAGTAATAATAGTAACAGTAATAATACCAGTAATAGTAATAATAAATCCCAGTAATTAATGCATCCCCAAAATAAATGGAGGTTTATAGCTGGGAAAATCATCTATAAATGGGCCATTTTCCATGGCTATGTTAAATAACCAGAGGGTATTACTATTACTGGTATTATTCCCAGTAATGGTAATCCCGGTAGTATCCCAGTAATAATACCTATAATCCCATTATTGGAATACTGGTTTGGATTATTATTCATGGTAACTACTATAAATAATACCATTATTACTGGGTAATTCGCAAATTACTGGGTAAGAATGGTAATTATGGTAATGGGAATATGTTGCGAATGGTAATTTGTTTATACCAAAACCCGTGGGATATTTAAATTTATATATAAAATCTATTGAATTATAATGGAATATTAAAATTCCATATTTTTTATCGTTATGGGAACATAAATTAAACTAGATGTTTTTTTTTAAATATAATCTATTTATATACCTTTATGTTATTTATGAGTAGTATTGGGTAAGTCTGGGTCGGAAATTTTAAAACTGAAACATAGAAGGGAATATAAATTCTATTTATAGGATATTAATAAATGTTATATATAATAATAATAAGAATAATAATGATACTTTATTATTATATATTTTTTAAAGTATATTTTATATTTTATATTATTGATTTTATTTATTTTGTTTTATTTTTATTTTATATTATATAATATTTTTTATTTTATTTTATTATTATGTATATATTTTTTCAAATTAATTATTGGTATTAATGAATACTGGGAGTTATGATTAACAATCAGTAACTATAATGTAACATTATTAGTAACTCCCATTCTTCCCATTATGTTGCCATATTGGCATGATGGTATATTGGGGAATACTGGAGTATTTATAGTGGTAATGGGAATGTTTGGAACTCTCCCTCCCTTATGGCCATTTACCTAGGATAGTTTGGTGAGTCAATGCAATCCGCCAACAACCAATACCAAATCAGGTTTCTATGGGGGAATGGATTATATAAATTATATGGATATGGATCAAAACCTATGATTCATAGCATATTCATCCAGCTATACCAACTATTTTGGTGTTCACGAAGGTCACAGGCTCTTGACCCCCAGCGCAGGAGGAACCTGTTTACTACTTTGTGACAGAGTTGTTGGAAGGCGGCGATTCTGGGATTGTCACCAGATGGGAAGTGGCTCGTTGATCCATGGTGAAGTTTAGTTGTGCGACTCGAAGGTTCTATCTGTTTGTTGGCCAAATAGAAATCATAGGTTTTTTTTGCCGCTTAACTTTACATTTTGCTGGGTTAAATCATCATTTTGGTGCGGTAAACAACAACTTCTATTGTTAAATAAATCCAAAGAAATCCAAGATCTTGTTGCTCAATATCCGCACATTTTTCCTCCAAGTTTTCGTTTGGCAAACTCAATTTTTGCTCATTGAATCCATTATTTTTGTTGGTTCAACCTCATTATTGTCAAATTTATTGATGAACATTCCATTTCCATATTTTCTCCAATGGGTTTTGGAGCAAACCCCAAAAAACATGCTGGTGAAATCCCACTTCTTGATGCCAAAAGCCACTGTGGCGGAGTTTGTTTTCATTTGTTTTCATTATTTTCCCAATCTAATATTGAGAATTGGATATTTTCCAATTAATGGATTATATTAATGGATATTTTCCATTTTTTTTCTTCGTTTTTTCAATTTTTTTCACCGTTTTTCCTCCAGCAGCCCTTCTCGTTTCAAGCAGTTCAATCCCACAGATTTTCCAGGCGGCTCTCTGGACCAACTTGTACAGCATCTTGGCATCGGCAAGTTGAAGCAACAAAAAGAGTGGTAGACCACGAAGAACTGAAAAATAGTTGGATTATGTTGGATTGCACAGGATGAGGCGCCCCCGTTTGATAGCTAACTAAGTTGCCTTGTGAGTGGCTGAATTCTATGGTTTATGGTAGATATAACTAGAGTTAATGATTGGTAAACTAACAATAAACTATTGAACATGGCAATGGAAATAGTTGATTTAGCCATTGAAAATTGTGATTTTCCACAGTTATGTGTGGATGATTAATAGTGGATGATTAATAGTTGGATTGTAGTGGTATGGATGATTAATAGTGGATGAGTATGAATGATAGGTAAACTAACAAAAAACTATTGAACATGGCCATTTAGTTCGTTGATTTAGCCATTGAACATGGTGATTTTCCATAGTTATGTTAGTTTACCAGAGGGTAGTTTAAATAGTTGGATGATCATTTTTAAATTTCTCTAGCAATTAGCTCACTAGTTCGTTGATTTTTAATCCATCAACATTGATCGAGGTCGATATTGGTCAACAGGTTGATACATTGAGTAGTATCATTAGTTAGTAGTTGGTGAATAGTTGGGGTAGGACGGTAGGACCTTTAATGTCCAAGCACAAACCATTGACTTTGAGTTTGACAAGTACAAGTTCGAGCAAACCATGCATAATATGCACATTTCAATGATGTGGCTAAAACAATGCCATAAACCATCCCCCCATCTCACCATGTATATAAGTGGTATGGTTACCATTTCCATGGGTGGTAAAAATGGCATTGTTTTACCCACAGTGGATCTATCCAACATAGACAGTTTGCTCACCAACTCACCGTTTCTGTTGAAGCAGGGCCCCCCACTGAAGGCGTTTCTGTCGATTCATCAATTGGTTGATGATGAAATCATGTGTATCCCAGTATGTCCATGAAAAACCCCATGTGAATTGCTGCATAAAATTCCATAAGCAAATCCATTGAATAAGCTTTCATTTGAGTTGATCAACTAGTGAATTCCCTATATTTCCTTGCTTTTTTTCTGTTCAACCACCATTCCTGCTGCTTAAAACCCCAATAAAAATCTTGGTGAAGTCCAGATTTTGGTTGGTAAACATTCCATATCTTTATTGGTGGAACTCTCAGCAGTAAGCTGGTAAAACCCCCACATTTCATGGTTGTTGGTTTAACTGTTTAACTACTACTGACTTGCTGAATTCTAAGTTTTCTTGGCAAAACCCCAACTCTTGTTGGTTTCATACCCCCAATCTTGTTGGTTAAACCTCCATTCTAGCAATATTACGATTATATACATTCCCATTGTATTCCAACTATTAACACCATTGTTTCCCATGAAATACTCTTTCCATTACATTCCCATCATATTCCCACAATATATTCCAGTGATATTCCCCAAAAATTTCCCATTCTTGTTGCTTCAACATCCCAATGATATTCCTATGATAGTTGTTAAACATCGGTGCTGAAATACCACTGGTTGGTGGTGACTGGACCATGGAATTTTTGATGACTTTCCATTCAGTTAGGAATGTCATCATCCCAACTGACGAACTCCATGATTTTTCAGAGGGGTAGGGCTCAACCACCAACCAGATGAAACAGGTTGTTTAACGGTCACTAAAGACTATTAACAGAATTTTTAAATGGGTACTTAAACACTATTTTTGGATGGGTGAAACCTGACCACCAGATGACCAACCAGACCATCTTGGATCCCCCAAAACAACTTGGACCCAATGGAACTCGCTCCGGACCCAAGGCGAGGTCCCGTGTTTGAAGAGACCGCGAAGCGCCTAACCAGGCTGCTGTTGCTAGGGCTTGACGGATGCTGATTCCATGGTTTCATGGAAAAAAACTTGGGAAAATCCATGTTTTTTTGCATGTTTGGCCCCACAAATCAAGCAAACATCGAGGTTTGACATCAGACATTTCCTGATGATTTCTGGATTTATGAACACATGAAAACACACATCTCATTTCACCATGACTTATGGATTTATGTTTAGTTGTTCAGGCCAAAAACATCCATCGGGTGTCAGTCCATTCTTGGACACACCCATCAGGGTCCAGCAGGGTCCAGGGCAAGGCAGAAGGGATTTGCTCTCTGGATCAGGGTCAAAATTTGAATGGGAGATTAAACATCTTTAAAACATATTATTATAAATGGGTCAATCGATGGGCAATGGATGGACATTTATACAAAGTCACTTGATGTGCAGCTATTGGTTCATGACTATGATAAGGATTAATTTAACAGCACAAAATGCATGGAAACCATGACAATAAACTTACTATATATATATAAATATAATGCTATTATATGTTTGATCAAGGACTTTATATTGGCACATCTATACATGGAGACTATGATCCTGCAGGGCATTTGAGTGACTGGGATTTCCATTGCTATGTGTCCATTGCTCCACTGCTGGAATGATATGGAGGTCTATGGACCGTTTTTCATAATATGAACGAACATCTAGCTATACCAGCTACCCTCTGGTATACTAACGTAACTATGGGAAATCATCATTTTCAATGGGAAAATCCACTATTTCTATGGTCATTTTCAATAGCAAACTGTTAGTCATTACCAGAGGCTACTGCATTTTGATTTGAAACCAAGAATAACCAGGGCTTGATCGTGGTTTGATCATTGATCCATAGCCACCCAGGGTCAGTATGTTTGGCTCCTGGGTTTGGCAAAGGGTTCGACCTAGGGTTACAAAGTCACAAGCCCATCTGACTATATATCGTCATAAACCCTACTAAACCTAGTAGGACCTAGAGGTTTCCCAGAAAAAATCAGAACACCCTTTCATCAAACAGAATTCCCAGGCGCCCAACTTTTCAACAACTACTTCGGGGTTGCTAACTGAACTAACTATGAACCCACCACCTTGTTCAACCCATCTCTGGCGGAGATTTGCACAGGAAGATCTGCGACGGACTGCTGAGCTTACACTCCAAAGGCAGGCTGGAGAAAGCTTCATTTGAGCCATGTAAAAAATCGCCCTGCCCACTGTTTATGGGTTATTTGTTAACTATGGTTAATGGTTGTGGGGACTATTGTAACTTAAATGGTTTTGAATATTGATGGCTATTTATTCCACGGGTTAATTGATAGTTGATTGGTGATGACATGGGAGGTTTAAGCACTAAACATGAAAGGTCATCATCCGGAAATATGGTTGCTTGATGTTTGAAATATGATGGTTGATGATAGTCCGAAATGAATTGGATGGATAAGAATGGGGATATCATTCACAAGTGATGGTTGGATGATGGTGGATTGGTCATGAAATACGGGGGTTATTAATTATCAGCCTCTCTGGTTCTTTGGATTGTGAGCTATGAACTGAATATACTTGTATGATATGTATGTAATTACATATGTGTATATATATATACATACAATTTGTCATATCTATATGGAGGTTTCCTGAAATGAGGGTACCCCTAGATCATTCATTTTATTTTCGGGTTTTTCCATGAAATAAACCCAGCATTTGGGGGTACCCCCCTGACTTAGGAAACCACCAATCTTTCCATCGGACGCCAGGTGTGGTGCATCGAGACCTGAAACCTGGCAACGTCTTGTTCGGATCGAACGAGCAGGGCGAGGCGGCTGCGATCTGCGAGACCTGTCATCGGTTGGATGGGTGAAATCTGAGATTTTTACACACAATTTTCTACATGACTGATTGGTGGTGACTGGAACCATGGAATTTTTGATGACTTTCCATTGAGTTGGGAATGTCATCATCCCAACTGACGAACTCCATGATTTTTCAGAGGGGTAGGTATACCACCAACCAGATGAAACAGGTTGTTCAACGGTCACTAAAGACTATTTAATGGAATTTTTAGATGGGTACTTAAACACTATTTTTGGATGGGTGAAACCTGACCTTCCCCAGTTTTTTTTTTTTACGTTGACATTGCGCGGAGAGTTCTCCAGGCCGAGCCCAAATTCATCGACTTCTCTCATGCAGCCTTAGCAGAGGAGGACGAGGCTGGTTGGGAGAATGATGGGGCCGCGATGGAGATGGGGATGTGGTACTTGGTGTGGTTGGGGGCTATGGAAATCCATGAAAATCTTGGGTTGCAAATGGAAAATCCTATGGAATTTTCATGAAAATCCTATATCAATGGAGGTTTATAGCTGGGAACATCATCTATTTTTTCACCTGTAGTAGAAATTTTGATAGGTTATAAATGGGTATAACTATGGTAATGAGCTCCATAAATTGGGATCAAACATGACATGACACCTACAGTGGTTATGAATAACCCATTTATAAGTGGAACTGCAGCTGCCAACTATGGGTTTCATGTGCCATAATGTGGTGTTTACCCAATGCCATAAACTTCAGTATCCCCAATTGTCCCCAACAGACAGAGATTTGGGAATGATGTTTTTTCGGACACCATGTTTTTTTTTTTTTTTAATAGGGTCTACCGCATGACATTTATAGTATAGATTTTTGTATAGATTCTAAACGGATGAACCAAGCCACACATCGAATACACTTGAAACTGGAGATTCCCTTGATTCACGGGTTGTTGGATTGTTTGATGAGGCAGCTCCTATGGCAACAGAAATCAGAACATGATTTCTTGTTCACCATGGGAAATGGCGTAGCCTCCAGTATTTCAACATGGATATGGAAAAGCCACCATTGATGACTTTCCCAAGGAAGCCACGAGATTTTCCATGGCTGAACCCCCTGGGCTTTTCCAATGTAACAACTCCTGGGTGCGAGGAGTCCTTGCATGGAGAGTTGGGAACACGCGGCTATGTGGCTCCTGAAGCAGGGAAGCCTGTGGGTGATCGAAAAGAAGGCTATGAACAAATCTCAGATCTGGACACTTCGATATTTTCGAAGTCACTTATTAAGCTCATTTCCAAAATTGCTATCTCGATCTATCTTGATCTATCTTGATCTTCACAGGGATGATGACAAACCATGGAAACCATGGGATTTTGGGGTTCCAAATTTTGACACCAGCCCTTGTTGCTTCATTTTTTCGACGAATGACCGGTTGCGCACCATGGCCAGGATGATCTTGGGAACAAATGTTACTACAATTTCGAGCAATTTTCAGATGTTTACACTATGGGTTTTGTCTCAAACTTGGGATGTTCCAAAATTCATGGCTATTGGACATTTTATGATGAAGCATTGGATCCTAGGGGTAGCCTATTTTCAGAGAACCCCAATGGTGGCAAATCGTTTCAAATCAAACTTGATCCACCAAAACTAGGGGATTTCCATGAACTTCGCTGCTCAATTGGAGGGGATGGCTTGGTGGAAAAAAAAAGCCGAAATGAGGTTCTCGCAGAGAAGCCCTACTGCTCGAAATGTGGCTGGATTGAGATTTTGATGGGATATTCATAGGGATATTGATGGGGATATGGTTTTGGGATATATAACCAGCGATAGTACTATAAATATCTATTAGTCGATATTACTTAGTTGGTTAAGTTAGATGTGCAGTATATGACTATTCATGTGATATTCATGGGATTTAATGGGATAGATAACCAACATCAACCAACTAATTACGGAATATGGCCACTGCGTTCGACGGATTGGTTGTGACGTTCATGGAATTGTAGGGCCATCATGGGGCTGGGAACGACTATGGTGGGGTGAGGGGTGGGAATGCAGGATGATGTGTGTATATTTGTGCACGCAGTACCATCATTTCCATGTTCACCCTAGAAGCAAACTTAGACGAATCATTGAAGATTTCGTCTCCGTCAGTTGAACTTGACCTTTCAAAAAGCTGCTCCTGCCACTTTTCTAGAGATGTGGCCAGAACATGCTAGACTTTCAATACCAAAGACTTACACCTCAAGGGTCGAGTTTCTTCCGGGCTCTAACTCCAGCATGAATGGTACCCCAAACCTTTGGTGTTTGATGGTTGTCTGACCATAGAGAATGGTGATTTACCATGCAAATAGATCGGAGATTCACCAGCAAATGTGAGGATTTTATCACGGCATGATGTTGGTAACCTAGGATTACGCTAGAAGAATACCAGCCGAGTGTGACAACTTGGTGTTTTTTTGTTTCTACAATCCAACAAATTTGGGGATTTCACCCAGAAATACCCTCCAGTAAACTAACATAACTATGGACCATCACAATTTTTAATGGGACAAATCAACTATAAATGGCAATTTTCAATAGCAAACTGTAACAAATTACCAGAGGGTACATTTTGAGTTGGTGTTGGGGGGTTATGACGTGCTTATGACCCACCATTTGGATCCTTAACGGCAACGGATGGTTGTTGTACCATCCGTTTTTGTTAAAGTCGGGCAGGGTTTATTTTTCGGTCTACGATCCATGATGTTCTAGAATGTGGTAACCCAATTCTTTTAACAATCCCCTTAAAATCACCATAAATGGGTGCTGTAAACCATCCCAAATGCTAGGTTCAGGGTTTAGGGTTTACCACATGAGAAATCATGGCGTCAACGGTCACTGAGGTGATATCTTCTCCTTGGGGTGTCTGGTTCACACCCTCCTAAGTGGAAAGCCACCTAGGAGGTGCGCTATGAAAAACGCGAGCTGTGGGTGTTTAAACGGCGATCGTAGTACAGTGACGAGGGGGAAGTCCAACAATTTTTTTAAGGACTTCACCATCAAAAATGGGTGAGTACATGATGATTCTCATTTTCAAGTCCTGCTGAACGCTTCTTTCTCTGTAGCCCCAATTTCAATGAACTGCTTTCATGGAACATCTAGAAGAAAAACTCTGGATATAATGGTAAAATATGGTTTTAAAAAACCATGTAAAAAACACATGTTTTCCTGTAAATACCATGATTTCTGAGATTTTGACCTTGACAGCATCGATTTCTGGGGTCATTCCACCAGCTGATGTTGCCGCAAGGCACATGCGAATCGGCATGGTGCAGCACTTGTGGGGGGCACCCGGCACCGATGGCCACTGAATCATTGAGAAGTCTCCATAAAACATATCCATTCCATGATTCTCCCACTTTGAACATGGATATTTTTACATGGCCACATTGGTTTACAGGAGGGTGTTACTTGGTTAATATCTCAACCGGGGTGAACTCTCGCTCCTGTGTCTCGCCCCTCAAGTTGTAGGGGACCCATTGCAGGTACAGTATCTGAAAAGGGAGGTACTGGTTCCATAGAATGCCATATTTTGGTGTGATATTCCCTTACACAGGCAATATGCTTGCATATCGCAGGCACCTCCAATTTAGGTACCTGTTTTTTCCCCGACATTTGGGACTGTTTGGGGGATGGTCATCCACACATAGGGATGAATATGTCATATTCCCAGGTGTGATACCCTCTCCCAAATTAACATAGACCCTGAAAATTGCCAGATTTTAGTGGAAACCAATCTTCCAAAGCCCTATCTGGAAGGCCTGTGCTAATTTGGGAGGTTTCCTAAAATAGGGGTACCCCCAGTTCTCATCCATTTTATTAAAAGCGGATTTGGGGTACCCCCATGACTATGGAAACCCCCATTTGGGAGGGTAATATATCACTACTTGGTGGTTTGGAACATGAATTTTATTTTTCCATTCAGTTGGGAAGAATCATCCCAACTGACAAACTCCATGATTTTTCAGAGGGGTAGAAACCAACCACCAACCAGATGAAACAGGTTGTTTAACTGTCACTAAAGATTATTGATAGAATTTTTATGACTTTCCATATATTGGGAATAATAACCCCAACTGACGAAGTCCATGATTTTTCAGAGGGGTAGGTATACCAAACCACCAAGCAGATCAATTTGGAAGGGAATCCCTGGGACGACCAGGCCAGCGACGGTGTCGCAGGAGGCACGCCAGTTCTTGAGCTCTTTGCTGCTTGGTCTTGGATGCCAGGGAAATCAGCGATAAATGGAGGTTTTCCATTTAGATATGGGAAAGTCATCGAAGATTTCATGTGGGATTTTTCAGCCATGTTTGATGACACTGGAGGGTGACAGGTAAGATTTTCATGTCACAGATCCAGAAAAAACTGTGATAGAATCATTTTCACTTTGATTTCGGTGTGCGTATGTAAAAAAAACATGCATGTCATGCATGGGAGGATTTCAATGGGTATTCATCTGACCACTTCATAGACTGATGGCATACAATCAGAGATATTTGCGGATATCATGTCGGTATGGCTTAAGATTCAAGACCCAGGGACCCACAGATGGACCTGACCGTTTTTGAGTGGATTATCACATATTTGGACTAGTGGACACTGGTGTAGGTTCTTGCGTACAAATTACAAATGTATGCACGTATCAATAAACTACTGTATTTGGATATGATATATGTACGTATATACAATATATACTGTATACATACATACATACGTACGTACGTACATACAGACAGACAGACAGACAGACATACAGACATACAGACAAACAGACATACAGACATACAGACATACAGACATCCAGACATACAGACATACAGACGTACAGACAGACATACAGACATACATACATATATACATACACATACACACACATACACACACATACATACACATACATACACATACATACGCATACATACGCATACATACACATACATACACATACATACACACACATACATACATACATACATACATACATACACTTTTTGTCTAGATGAATGCATATAGAGCGTGTTCTTTCATTTTTGGTCTATACATTTTAAGAGGTGTTCACCCTTCAGGGAGTTTTCATGAGGTGTTTTTCTTACCCCTGATGAGTTGGAAGCCAGACCAGCTACCGGCTATATAGAATTTCATTGTCGGTGCTTTCAACCTTCATCTTGATCATCACCATCGCCATCGCCATCATCATCATCATCATCATCATCATCATCATCACGAAGATGAAGATCAAACATGGTCTAGAGGTATACTAATATCAAACATGATCTATATATATTCCCAAGTAAAGAGGTATTCTAGTATAAAGATCAAGCATCTATCTTTACTCTTTACTACGCATTCTCAAGTATTCCCATCCCGTGATGGTGAATACCCGATCAATGAATGGGAAACATCATCAAGCGATCAGCATCACATAATCTTATATTGTTGCTGTTATATCACACTATATCCCATGTTGTTGGTGATATCCAAGATGACTATTTTCACTAAGTGCCATCATTCAGACAGTTACCAAAATCCTTCGTTTCTGGGCGAAATACGATTGATTGCCCAACTAACATCCGGTTTATTAACATCCATTGAGTATCCATTCTCGTTTATTTTTGGATTTAACATTTATCAGGGGAATCCAAATACTGTATATCAATTTCATCTCCATATTCACAACCTTCATATCCATCTTATATCCATCTTATATGCATTTTATATCCATTTCGTCTCTATGTACCCTCCGGTAGTCAAACACGGCTATGGAAAATCCCCGAACGAGATGGAGGTGGCACTGGAGAGTGGAAGTCCATACTGTGGATGGTTGCGAAATCCTGCGCTAGTAACCATTGGTAACACAATTCAACACTTGAAATAATGGGATTAGAACATATGACAACGAGATTTCTTAATTTCTTCCATCTACCAACTGGTGGATTTCAGAACCATCCACAGTATCATCAGCGTTTTCACCGTTTGCTTCCCGTGTCCGAAAGCGCTCTCAGGCTGTCCATGGATTTCAGAAGTCGCCCCGGCGCTGCCGAGGCACATGGCCAGCAGATTGGTTAGCATGATCTAGCATGATTCACTGTGGTTTAGTAGGATTTAACAGGATTTAGTATAATTTAGCATGATTTAGTATGATTTGTTATTGATTCGTCATTGATTAGTCATGGATCAGTATGGTTATGAGCCATATGACAGAATATTGCCAACCAGAGAACCAATCGTGGAAAGAAACATATTGGTTGATTTGTAGTTGGTATGCAAACAAAAATAAGAAACCTATTGGTTGGTTTACTTACAAGTCAGCATTGCATCGAGGATTAAAACGTAAAAACATAGGTTTTTTCATCAACCAACATCAAGACTTTTTCTTCGACCAGAAGGTGGGGATTCAACCATCAAAGATCGGGATTCGTCATTGCCATACCAGGGACATTGTCCTCAATGATATAATGGTGAACCCTAAACTACCAATGTTTTGCAGATTCTTGAAAAGGGGTGCGGGATGTCCAGTTTATGACTGGTCTAATCAGGTACACACCTTACTTTAGTTTCGTAAACCATTCCCCGCTTACTTGTTAGGATTTTATACACCTTTGATATCCATTGCAGGAAATTTTCGCCGGCTCGCGTAGCGACGCATAGAGCCGCATAGCACTGCAGAGCACCGCATAGCAGTGAAGAGCACCGCATAGCACTGCAGAGCACCGCATAGCACTGCAGAGCACCGCATAGCACTGCAGAGCACCGCATAGCACTGCAGAGCACCGCACAGCACTGCAGAGCACCGCACAGCACTGCAGAGCACCGCACAGCACTGCAGAGCACCGCATAGCACTGCAGAGCACCGCATAGCACTGCAGAGCATCGCATAGCACTGCAGAGCACCGCATAGCACTGCAGAGCACCGCATAGCACTGCAGAGCACCGCATAGCACTGCAGAGCACCGCATAGCGCTGCAGAGCACCGCATAGCGCTGCAGAGCACCGCATAGCACTGCAGAGCACCGCATAGCACTGCGGAGCACTGCACAGCACTGCAGAGCACCGCACAGCACTGCAGAGCACCGCACAGCACTGCAGAGCACCGCATAGCAGTGCAGAGCACCGCACAGCACTGCAGAGCACCGCATAGCACTGCAGAGCACCGCATAGCACTGCAGAGCACCGCACAGCACTGCAGAGCACCGCATAGCACTGCAGAGCATCGCATAGCACTGCAGAGCACCGCATAGCACTGCAGAGCACCGCATAGCACTGCAGAGCACCGCATAGCACTGCAAATTCCTAGTTTTACCCTTGCTCTCGTATAAATTAATCATTATAGTAACCGGGTTGATGATGAGGTTTAATGAGAGGTGTCCTAAATCTTTCTTGGTTGATGGAAACATCAACATATGGTACAATTTAAATGGAAATTTTGTGATCCAGTACGGGAATTTCCCCTTCAACCAAGCCGTAGATGGCAGAAAATTTGAGATTGCTCAAATGAGACACAACGCATAGAGAATCAAATCCCCATTCAGCTTTTAAATGCGTGTAATCACATGTACACATATCCGTATGTGCAACTGGGTTTACTGCATTCCCATGTCTAAATAATAACCATTCAGCCCATCATTCTTCAAAGTCGTACTTTTGCTGGTCAAAGTCGTACTTTTAAACATTTCTATTTGTATACCCGCACATACCAGGTACAACAACCCTCGACACATGTACAATAAATGACAGGTTGAATTTTCTTAGCAATAAACGGATCTATCTGAACATAGGATACCCAAAATTGAGGGTGAACGATCATTTTCCCTATGAAACTGCAGTTTTGGGCCGTATACCGTATAATTACCCAATGTTCGGACAGACCCAAGTGTCATATCGGGTTGGTTCGTTTTCTATCCCATGAAATATTCTCATTATCCCATTAAACCCCTTAAAAATGGTGGTGACAACGATAGTTTCCTGCAGACTTTCCTTCAAACCTATCCATTGAATTCTGATTTTCGTACTATTATTCCATATTCCCACGATATTCCCACGATATTCCCATGATTCTCCCAGCACTGGTCAAATGGATCTTCAGCTCAGGTCTTGAGGGAGCCTTGGCTTCAGGAGCAGATCAAACCATGGAAATCCGCAGAGTTTGAGCTTACTGAGTTATAATTTGGTTATAATACCAAGGTTATTTCCGCAGTTTAGGTTACTGAGTTGGATCAACCAAACTAATATGGTTATAATTATTCAATATTAGTAGCCAAGGTTATTTACGGAGTGATTTCCCATCAGTGAATGGGAGCAAAAAATCGACTACCAAAAAATAGTAACACATAATTATTCAGGATTTGTTTCAGGTGATTATTTTATTTTACCAATGGGAAATCGACTACTTTGGGAATCTATAGGTTACATTTTTTTATGATCTATTTTTGTTCCTTAAGCAAATCCAAGATTACTATTAATGTTCGTAAAGCAATAATAAACCACCCATAATTGGAGGGTTATGCCACCCATGTATGGTGATTTTGGTGATGGTTTATCATTGCTTTACATTGCTAACCTTTGTGAACGATACTCATTATAATCATCAATTATTAGTAAACCATTATAATCAATTATGAGTAAACCATTAATTATTACAATCATCATTATAATGCGTGTATAATTTTATTAACGTGGGCAACCCAATGTTATAAACTTCTGTCATTTGGGGATGGTTTATATATAGCAGCCCAAAAACAGGTGATTAGGGGATGGATTGTTATTGGCTTGACCACATTGATATATACAAACACATGTTACAAAGCTCAAATGATTGGCGTTTCTTGAGTATTTTGGTGATATATGGGTTGATTGCGGGCCTATCCAAGTAATGGGTCCTCTACTCAGCCAGTCAGGTGTGGAGATGACGGAAACTTTTGGGGCACTGCTCACAAGTTTCTTTTTCTTGTCCTGCTTTGAAAAAATGGGAACGAATCCCAGATATAATTGTTGGATATTGTTTCATAATGTTGGATGATTGTTTGTGTTGGGATGGCTGCGTATGATTATAATTATTCATTTTTTTTGTGAGGTACGTGCCTTTCTGCCATGGAAATTCTTCCTCTTTGAGCATATTTCAGGAAACATACTTTTCTTTTTTGGGCTACTGTACTTGAGGAGAACTTTTTGGCTGATTGTTGAGACAAACCTGCGAACAAACAAATCCCAACAGATTCTTCATTGGTGTTGCTTTCATTGCTTGGTGAACTGCTTTGTATCCCCATAAAAGGTCGTTGTATCCCGCAAAGCCTTAGCCTTATGTGAACACTTTGGTTCACTTGGCCTTGAGTCAACTTTTTTCAAAGGTGTCCCTTGGACTTGCCCCTTCACATCCCAGTCAAAACTATATATATCAAACCCCCGAAAATGGATGGAGTGTGATTAGTAAAAACAACCAATGTTGTGGATCTACTGGTACCCCATGGTACCACTTTTTTTGAACCGCAGCCAGCTGCTATGTCACTTGCCGCGAAGGAGGAATGATCACAAGTTCCGGCATGCTGCGATTGACTGCAAGAGCGGGACACCGATGCGGAGGGGAGGGGTGATGGCGACCGGGCAGTGTTCCCCAATCACTGCCCTAATGAAACATGGCTTGCTAGAAAATCCACCATTTGTAGACGCTTTTCCCAATCAACCACTATTTATAGTGGATTTTCCATTGCATTGTTTGATTACCGGAGGGTAAACCTGGTAAACTAGCCATTTACGGATTAAGAAGCTGAGTCAAGACTTGGATTGTATACCCAGCCCTTAGGGGATGGTGATCAATCCGTTCTGAAAAAGGTTTCATGTATTCCACCGATTCCCATTGTGGGATGGATGACCACACCCCAAAAATCACATGTTTACGATGATTGATCCCCAGTACCCTCTGGTAAACATACAAAAAGCTATGGACAATGGCCATTTATAGTTGATTTACCCATGAATAGCATGATAAATTTCCATAGTTACGTAAACGTTTACCAGAGTCAGAGGGTATCCCTATTGTAATCCCAAATGTTCATGGTTAATTCATATTATATATACTATCCCACATCATCCCACATCATCCCATTGTCAAGTGATCATGGTCACTTATTCAGCAATTCTACCTGGGCAAATTCTTGTGACCTCACTGTGACCATTCTACGGTACCACTATAACACTTTTGGATCTTTTGGATCTTTTGGATCTTTCGTTTGACCGAACCTTTCTGAGTCGACGGTTAGCGCAATAGCACGCGATGTCGCCGATGTCGCACCAACGACTCGGTTCCTTTTCGAATCATCGAAAGTTAGTGATCCCCAACTTAAGATCAACAAAGTAAAACCCCGCTAAAATATAGTGATAATATGTTTTTTTCCCACTGTTCTATGAAATTTTGGAATGACTATAAAAAAACTGGATTTTTCCACCAAGTGAGCGACATCATCCCCTACTGGCCTGTTTCTTTGCTCAGGATGCCAATGATGCGGCCGGATCTTACAATCTCTCTTTCAATCTTTCGTTCCATGAAAATCCGGGGCCAGCCCCGTGGGCTCCCAAGAGGAATGAGCTAAGCCTAGTAAAGTTTATATATTGAAGCCACAACAGATGTCCGGTACCCGGAAAAACCTCGTTGGATTTTCAGAAACCATCTTGATGCGGTGCCGGCAGTGCGCCGAGCGTTGGCTCGAGATAATGGGAACTGGAGATTTATTTCTTGCTAATCAACTTCAAACTTTCGTTGAACTGCTGCATTTCAGATGCTATATGACTAAAAAATATTAAAAATTAATTCTCACGTAACTAGCTTACTGTAACTAGCTTTAGTCAGTTCACCCATTGTTTTTGCATCTGCCGGCGCTTAGCACTCCCAGCTGCCCAACAGGGGCGGCAGCTGGTGTATGCTGGTGTTGTGTAAATGTTCCTTGAAGTCGATGATCTGCGGCCGCAACATAGCCTCTGCTCATGAAAACTATCCACTGGTTAGGGGAGCAGTTCGGAGCTGTTGGAAAACTATCCACTGGTTAGGGGCGCAGTTCGGAGCTGTTGGAGCTACGTAGAGTTTCCCGATTTTATTCAATGGGGAGCCAGTTCGAGCTACTAAGAGGAGTTTCCCGTTGGAACATGATAGTTTCACAGTTTGCTATGGAGAATGGATGAAGTTGGCCCATGAAAATAGATGATTTTCCGATTTTCCTCCCCAAAATTCTGACTTTCCATAGCAAACTGCAAGAAATTACCAGGGGGTAGCATATTTGATGGGCCTTCAATGGCTATAGCGGCTAAGAATTTTCCTCCCCCAGATGGAAAGGAAGGTATCTGAGCTTCGTGTTGCATGGCCCAATTTCTGGAATTCCAACTGGAACTTTGCTGGAAATTTCTGTGAGATCGGACGGTATTTTTTTCGATCGGACCACTGTCAGGAAAACATACTGTGGATGGGCCAGCGAAATCCGAATCACCAGTTGATAGATGGTAAATATGCCCATTATTTATAGGGTTGAAAAACCATCCTTTTGGTGGTGCAGGATTTCGCTGGCCCATCCACAGTATGTTTTCCTGACAGGAGCAATCCTATAGTTTTCTTGTTGTAATTATTTGTCTGAGTCAGTGACTTCGGGGAGCATGCTTCAGCACAGGATCGAAATACCGCGACAATACCATTACCCCTACTGAAGTCCGAGGTGGAACCCCCGAGAAAGACGGCATTTCCAAGTTTCCAAGTATGGAACACAATCTGTTTATCAAGACACTTTAGCTGTTGCACTGGGTTCCATGCAATGTGAATTTCACGGGGACATACCATGCTGCTGCTTGGAGGAGGTTGACACTCCTTGGCTGATGGAATGATGAATTGCGGATTGTACTCCCATTTGCAGAGGACATATATAATATGGTATATATATAATTATATAATACATATATTATACATATATATGTATAATATATATATATGTATAATATACATATATATGTATAATATACATATATACACATCGTCAATGATGGTTGATGAGAGGATACTAGAGTTTTTGATTTTAATTAAACAAATTTCAACCACATTGAAGTCTTAGCCAGCCTGATACCATTTTTTTCATTTTAATATTTTTTCCCGCTCTGTGCAAGCCATCCTTGACGAAGAGCAACATTCTCACCTCGTGTAACTTTGTGGTTTGAAGCATCTCTTATTTTGCACTGAGAATTATTTTCATTGACATCTCTGAAACCACCAAAAGCAGGGGCACAATTGATGGAAATATCACTGGTGATTTTATATAACTCACAGATTTTCTTCACTGGTACAGCCATGGTTAGATCATGGTGAATCTTGGCTGTGATAGACTTCCTCCGCACCAATCCGTTTTGCGTCTCTTGTGCGACAAGGGCCTCTGTGGTGTTTTCAGCGTGCAGATCCTTCCGGGATGGGCCCCCGTTTGATAGCGTTCAGTTGCCTGAAAAAAGTGGCTGAATTAACTATGGTTGATATTTATAGTAGATATAACTACAGTATTCACGGGGTTTATAAACAGACATAACTGGGGGCACCATCCTGAGGTTTCCCTCAGACCCGGCAGTTAGAATATGAACAAATGTGGGGTGCAGATAGAATATGACAAGACATAGTATGTATGGCTATATGACTATATGTTCTGTGAGTTTTCGAAGGAATTGACATAGCTGTTGAAACAGACGTGTATCTGGTGGCTTTGCCGTGGAAACAATGCTTTTCGAACACAAGTGTTGTCGTCAATCTTTCTCCCTTAAAGTTTTTGGTTGGACGGTACAGACTGCTTGCTCTCTTCCTGAGGTTCTTGTGGTGAAGAATGTGCAGTACCAGCAGCAATGATTAGCATATATGGCTATGGATCAATACCTATACATACCATTTTTAGGGGGATGAACATCCATTTACCAGCTACTTTGATGTGAACTACAGGGGTACAAGGTTTTAACACACTGCCATATCTTTATCTTCAAAAACATGCAGTTTTTGGGACCAGCAGTAAGGAACGCCCCTTGCATCATCCAAGTCATGAGGCCATGAAGAGCCCCCCATATCTCTTGAGCAAATATCCCATTATATAAATATCCCATTCAATATCCCATGGCTGACCATTAATAATCACAATTACCCATCATTAACCACTATCAACCATCACTTATCACTATTAACCACAATAAACCAACCATATCACATGTCAAATGTTGCTTTATGCCACGACCTGCGGAAGATTTCACCACACAGGCTCCAGTTCTTGGTCCAAGTTCCAGGACGAAAGTTTTCCGGAAGCAGCTGAAGCGGCGAAGAAATCAAGCGCCAGTTTCAGGTTGGAATCATCATTTTTTTAGCACAACCACATTGATTTTCTATGTGCATTAATTTTCTAGGTATTCTAACTGCGTTCCCAAATGATTGAAATAACTAAAGAAACAATATTCTAAGTGATTCAAATAGTTTTTAATATTCTAAGTGGTCGTCCGGTATAGTAACCGCATTATACAATTGATTCATGATTGCATAATTGACTGTCAAGCTGCTATTCAAGTTGAATCACATTATATTATATACTATTGGTGTCATAATATTGGTATATATATATACTGCAAGGCTATGATAGCCATTGGAATTTCATATTATATCAATTTATATCATAATAGTTGTTCATTCTTGTATATCATCATCAAAAGCAGTGATATACTATGAAGTTATCTTTAACCATGTTATATTATTGTTCTTAGTAAAACTTTGTTTAACTATTGGTGATTATGTCTAACTAACTATACGTAATAGTTATATCATCAAATGTAAGAATCATTTTTTTTTTTTAAATGAGAGTAAACAGTGATTATTATGGTTTATATAACCATCATCGTCATTGTTTGTTGTTATTCTTATTGCTACTATTGTTATTGTATGTGTACATATATACATATACACATGTACACTACAATATGATTGTAGTAAAAATTGGCTATCATTGTTTATATGACCAACTATTGTTGTATTAGAATGTTGTCATCGTAGAAATTAATTGTCAGTATTTACATTATTCACTACTATTGTTGTTATTACTATAAACTGACTTTCATTGTTTATATAACAACTATTGCTATTATTGTTATTCTAGTAGATTTTGTTAATGTTGAATTATCAGTGTGATAATGTCCTGAGGAGAATTCGATACCATGATTCAAGGAACATCTATACAGGAACCTCCAGATCAGAACAGCTAATTCCCCATTTCCAATCTAGAACCATTTCCCCGTTCGGGTTGTTCAAAGTTCATATTCTACCATTTTCTATCTGAAACAGGAATTTTCTTCCCATCATGTTGCATTCCTCTTCGGGAAAATCGAATCCAACTGATGAACATGTTTCCTGTTTTGTATGAAATGCCCACGTGTTTCCTTTTTTTCCCCTCCGCAACATTTTTGTTTGTCCAAAAGTGGCGGATACCCCAAACTTGCAATGGAAAATGATGATAAACCGTGTCAAACTGAAGGATTTTGGGGTACAACAAAAGTGGTTGGTGGTTTGGAACATTTTTTTTCTTTTTCCATATATTGGGAATGTCATCATCCCAACTGAGGAACTCATATTTTTCAGAGGGGTAGGTATACCACCAACCAGAAAAACATTTTTTGAATCTGGGCATGTCACTGACATAGGGTCTCCCACGCTGGAGATTTCACCCTCCGGTCGAACTTAGAACATGGCCAGGAGCAAGGGGGCAGGACCCGCCCCATGGTTTTACACTTTGGAACCGGGTCATTCTTGGTTTCGAAAATCAATTTTCAATGATTTATATTTCAGATCCCATTAAGTGGCTAGCATTGGAGCCGAGATATATTTCTATAGACCCTGTTAGTAACTCATATTTGCTCGCGATAGATTTGGGATTATATACTTCCCCAATCTTTGTATTATATAACATTGGATACTCCCCAGTTGCCAATCCAGTTTCTGTACGATTTAGTTCGCAGGATTTCTAACTTTGTCCTGGATGGGTCCACCAATCCCAGTTGACGACCCCGCGCGAGTTAAAGTCCGCACGTCATGGAACCCGCGCAGTCGAAAAAGGGGATGAAGACCTGCCACCTGGGTTCCTAGCACTGGCTCTGGGTCGTCGAAATCTGTTGGTAATGACTAACAGTTTGCTATTGAAAATGGCCCATTTACAGTTGATTTACCTATTATTTTCCAGTTCGTTGTGCTCGTTTACCAGAGGGTACCCTCCAGTAAATGAACAGTTCGACGCTGCCATGAGTTGGGGCTTGGAAGATTAGTTTCCACTAAAATTGGTGATTTTCTGGGTCTATGTTCAAATGGGAGGAGAGTGTAACATACTTGTTTTTTCTTCCCTTCCCCAAGGCCCCAAACAAGTTGAAAGGTGTTCTCAGCAAGTTCCTGACCATGAAAATACTGAGATCATCAATAGAAATCCCAGTGGTCAAGATTTTGGTTGGAAATTCGTTTGGTGAAGTGGAGACGGTGAGATATGGATGCAATATTACTGACTATTATATTCGTCCTCTACAGTTGTTGATGCATTTACAAAATTCCACATATATGATATAATATACATATAGATATACAGATATGATGTGATCGTTGATGATTTCCATGAATTCTCTTTGCAACGCTTTTTGGGCACCTTCAGCCACCTTGCGCGGGCACCTTGCGCGGCACCTTGCGCGGGCGGCACCTTAGGCAACGAAAAAAACGTTGTGTTTTTTGGGCCATGGAGCAGCCTTTACAAATGGCTGAGCCTGAGCCTGATGATGTCCCCTACTGTCGGCAGAAGGCCCGTTGCTGCTGTTGTAAACCTCCCAGGTGGGGACGGCGAAATGGATGGCGAAAAGGGGCATTTGTATATACAGTACTCATTCACTGATATATAATGATGTGTATATATATATATATACATAGTTTGCTGCCTGTAAAGACACCATGGGTTTTATTGGTCACATATACACATATACATATATATATATATATACATATATATATACACCTATAATGTTCAAAGGCTTGATAGAACTTTGATCTCCGTACTCAGGTGGACGCACTGTCCCATTTGTTTGCTGGTTTTCTATGTGCTGCTGATGCCTGCCATTTACGTCGTGGCCCACTTCTTGGTGTATCCTGGTGACGACTACGCCAACGTCGATGGCTCACTCTACGGCGCCAGCTGCAAGGTTTTCAACTTCACGGGGCGCAATGGACCCGTGGCGGCGGAACAGTGCGTCAGCGCTGCAAAGGGAACGACCTCGGGCCCGGTGCCGGTGGTGGCCTTTGGCGGCAACGGCATGAACATGTATGACACCGTCGAGTCAGTGTTGGACTTTTTGCCAAAGGACCAGCAGTGGGAGGCGAAAGGTTGAACGAGTTGAAAGGGGGTGGAACCATCAAGATCCGGCCATAAATCGGAATGCCTGCATTTGTTTCTTTTTTTTCTGGCCTTGTGAACCTGGTTTTCAGATGTTTTCAGAACCAAAGAAAGTGGCCTGATATCTAAAACCTTGATAAACCTTGGAGGTCTATTCATTTTCCTTCCCTGGGTCTCAATATGCCCCGCGGAGCGGCTGGACAACTGAACGCCGCACTGAAGCAGATGCTCTGGATTTGCTACAGCATATCAGTGCCAAGAAGGACGGTTGGAGGGTGCTTGAAGAGGTACCTTGGGCAACATCCTCTAATCAAACGTGGCTGGCTGAAAAATCCCCTGTGTATACATATATAATATATGTATGATTATATGTAACTATGATGATAATAACTATAATTATATATCATATATGTATCTGATGTACAAAATGGGACAATCATCTTTAAATCAGAGATTTTCCAGCAAGTCAGACATAGTCAGACGACACCGGAGGGTAGTCAGCCCAAAAAAAGGAGATGGGCTGGTCTTCCAAATCGGTTGTGGGTCGCAAAATGATTGATTTTCCAGCTAGTGAACGAGTCGCGGCGATCCCCTTTTTATCATAGTACCCTCTGGTTATTTAACATAGCCATGGAAAATTGCCCATAGAAATAGATGATTTTCCCAGCTATAAACCTCCATTGATAATGGATTTTCCATGGCTATGTTCAATAACCAGAGGGTATTTCATCCGATGTTGCTTGTTGTTGGTGATGATCTCGATGTTTGTTGCTTCTTTTTGCCTCCGTTGGTAAGGTTGGTTGATATCCATATTGGCTAGGTGGTTTCCAACATGTTCATCGTACGCATTGGATAGATAATAACCAGCAAAAAACGAGGAATGGGTGACAATTTAGAAAGTTGAAAGTTGACATTGCCATAGATGTTTGCTGCATACTTTATTTGATGTACCAAACATATTTATGTTTGAATTTATGTTGGATCATATCTCTCAATCGCATGGGTTTGGTTTTGGAAAGGAACATCGATCATCCCATGTGGACAAAGATCTGTCCATATTTTCTGCAGGACAAGTTATATATACAGTATTAACAGATGTTGATATGTAGCTATTGGCATTTACGAGTTCCACTTATCAGTTATACATAGTTATACAGTTGGTCTGACTATTGATATTTAAGAGACCCAAAAAACATGAGAACTTGATCGAACTTGGATGGTGGCGCGGCCACAGGAGCAAAAGATTGTCGTCTTCGGTTGGTCACTGGGCTCTTCAGTGGCCGCTTTCGTGACCAGCCAAAAACCCGACCTCGTGCAGTGTGTGATGCTGGGGAATCCCTTCACCAGCATTCGAGACCTGGAAAAAACACAGGTCTTTTAAACTTGTTGTTTAAGGGGAAATCCCTTCACCAAAATGGACTGTAGAACATATTAATTGCCAACTATCAATCATCAACCGTTGTAATTATAGATTAATGTATATACTATATATATAATATATTCTGATCATTATCCACCACTAAGTCTACGGGTTTGACAAAACAGCTGCGGACTCCGGACCTTAGTTTCCAGAAGCAATGACACTGATGGGCCACTAGGAGGGGCTATAAGATGCTATAAGTGACAAATAATAGTCGTTTGTAAGGACTATTGTTTTAATAGCCTTCGACTTGTAGGGTATATATATATAAGTGTATACATTGATGAATATTACCAACTATCAACCATCAGGTGTTATCAGAATTTCTGTTGCGTAAGTGAATCATATTTTTTTCCCCCCCAGTGGGAGTTGAGATGATGGAAGCGGGGATGGGGATCTATGGGGATTTCGGGCGTGCAACTTACAGTATCCCCCCCCCAAAATGGATGGTTTCACCCAGCATGGGAGGTTCACCAGTGAAAGATGTGGCTTTGATGCGAGTTAATTTCAACATATGGCTATGGATCAATACCTATAAGTACCATTTTTAGGGTGATGAACATCCATTTACCAGCTATTTTGAGGTTCACTAGGGGTACAAGGTCTTGACCCACTGCCATATCGAAGATGGACTCCCAACGTTCGTAGGCTACGAAGATGATCGATCGTTCAACGGTTTCATGGGTGGATTAGTGGATGATCCGCTGAATCTGGAGGGTTCGAGATGGGCTCCATCCTGCTGTGGGAAAATGAGGCGGCAAAAAACCATGAAATTTGTTCCCTGCAAACTCCACAACTCCACGCGGTTAGCCCACACCCAAATAACACACCCAAACAATATCATATACTTGTCACCAGAGGATGAATGAAAACAGTGCCTGTACGCAGCCATTTTGACTTTAGGATACTTTAGGCTTTCAGAATTTAGGGTGTTAATTTAGGGTTTAGGCTTTTAGGTTTTGGAAAGTAAAAAAACGCTAGCCCTACGCATGGATTTGAGCATGTCAAAGGATATGCGGGATCCGAAGCGGGCAAACGTGCTGTTTGCAGCGAAGCATTTTTTTCCCCCTAAATCTTCTGACACACCCAGATGAGGAACGACCAAATTTGTCGTTGAATTTGCACTCCAATTTTGAGCTATGCCTAGCTGAGGGGGGGCATCAGTCTCCGTATGTTTGAAGACTGGATACCCCAACTGGCACAGTTTCCCTGTTCCTGAAAGATCTGAAAGATGAACCGGTGGATTTGGGAGTAGCAAACTTGGACTGCTTCTTTGTTGGTTTGGTTCAGTGCAAAAAAGTGCAGTGGTAGGTCATAGATCCAGACTCCATTTCTTTCTTTTGGGATGGTTTTCTTTCCTTATTTTGTGGATTGGGAATTTGCTTGTCGTTTTGTATATCTTTTCCAGTTTTCATTTTTTCTGGAACTTTTTCCATTTTCGGAAAACGTCACTTCTGAAGCGGACACCATTTCCAATCCTCCCAAGGAGATGTGGCCCTTTCTTGGACCTACAACTTCGCTGCCCTCTATCTGTACCTGTTGGACACGTGGCCCACGAAGGCTTTCGCAGCGAACTTTGGGGTTCCGAGCATCGTGATGTCTTCCCTGGAAGATCAAGTCGTGCCGGTGTGGATGCACGGTGAAATCTACAAGCAGGCTGGGTGTTCACCCTGGTTGCCCTCTGGTAAACTTACAAAAAGCTATGGAAAATGGCCCATTTATAGATGGTTTACCTATTTCAAATGGTGATTTTCTATAGCTATCTTAAATTACCAGAGGGTATTTTGGCATTTCACAGACCAATGGCTTTTCATAGGTTTTCATTCGGAACTGATTCATGTTGGAAACTCGATCATAAACCTGCTGTTTGGGATGGGGCTTTTCCACATTACATAGAGGGTTCAACATGACTTTTCGACTAAACATGGTAGACGGCATTTCTTACGGGAAAAACACACCCCCATTTGGTTCGATGATCTTCCCAGCTCTAAGCCACCATTTAGTGTGGAGCCCCTTCCTAGCGTTTGAAGCGCTGGACTTCGCGGAAGGTGCCAGTCTCTGAGAAGTTGTTGGTAGAGCTGCAGGTAGGACACATGGACATGTTCATGTTCAGACAAGATACAGCGAAAGCCATCCACCAGTGGTGTGTACCCAGCTCCACTGAGCACAGGCTTATATGAGTCTGGCCGTCCTCGAAAAAAGAGACAGTCGCCAGGGGCGTTGTGCCGGGATTCATAAATGCCTTGGGTGCCGAACTGGATGAAATGGGCGATTTTTGTGTTCCCAAGTTAGCATCGGATGAAACCACCCAATCTCAGACATGGCTTTGCACAAAGCTTCAACCAGCTTTCAGATCTTTGTTACATGGATCTCATTGGGTCTCCAAAAAGATTGATTTGTGAATCCCGACGATTTCTTGTGGCGGCTTACTTTTCTATCTTTTTGCAGGGACTCGGTTAGATTTCCCTAATTCTTTGGACACACCGTGTCAGATGTGCCACAAAGATCCACAAAGTGCCATGATGACTCCCAGCATGCTTCCCATGTAAGGTGTTGAGGGACCTTACGCAGGGTGCCTCAGCCCCGCTGAGGCTTCAACGACCGCGGCTGGATCCATCCAAGATCATTGAAGATTTGTAAATGATTGGTGAATTGGATCATTTCTGATGATTACTATCAATTAACTAGATAATTTCCAATCATCAATCTTACTTGTAGGGATGATTCCAATTCTAATTTGTAAATGATTTGTTAATTGGAATCATCCCCAATGCCAAGATTATTTCTGAAATTAGATAATTTACTAGTAATTAACCACCCAATCCCCAGAATGGTGGGGGAATTATAGTAAGTCACAAGTTGCTGAAATTAGATACACTTTGAAGATTATTTCCATGAATCAGTTCCTAGAGTTGCAACTCTGCGAATCGAAATAGTTGCAAACTATCCATAATCAGGCATTTAAGAGTTTGGAATCTCGCGGGGGTTAAACGATCCTGTGAGTGGTGCTTTGTGATACTTGATACCTTCTGTGGATTCTAACTTGGACCCATAAATGTACCAATCTGCACATTTTACAGCTATTCTGGGTAAATTGTAGCGAAATCACTGCGACCTCACTGGAATCATGGTCAATAAGAGGAATCATCCCAAAATGGCCTTATTTCAGGTTAGTGAATTAGAATTTACCCAGAGTTATAACAGTTATCCATGCTAAGAATAGACCACGTGTTTCATCGTTTTCCAATTTCAATCCCACAAGAGACTTTGCAAAGTTCGTTGCTTCAACTAGGGCTGCTGCTTGAAAAACCTGCGTAATGAACCAACGCACACATACCACACACACACCATAAAAAGTTGGTTGATTTTTCTTAGCGAACTCAACGAACTAAACCTCCATGGCTTCGGAGCCCCTTCCAGTTGGATCCAGTTGCATCCCTCTAAGGTCAAGCAGTTTGAGAAGCACCTGGCGCAGATTTGCGGCTGCTCAGCGGTCCGGCGACCTGGTACCCAAGGGGTACCCCTGGTATCCCCTGGTACCCCAACCACTGGAGACACATGGTCTATCATCAGTGGTATGAAACCACCCAAACTCGAGATGAAGCGCCAAGAACGGGATGATTTTGTCGTTGGTGAACTGGTTGGTGGTTCCAAAATGCTGAAAAATGGGGTGATGATCTATATATCCGCAAGCATCCACAAACCTTTGTAGTGTTCACGGGGATTGAAACCATTGACCAAACCACAATTTCACATGTTGTGACTAAGAAATCTGCATCACCACCGGACATCGAAGTGCATGTTGGGCAAAAAAAATTGGGCCTAGAACATCCTGGAAGCCAATTGACCTTTTGGAGGGATTCGCTTCCCCAAAATTAAAGCAGACGCTGCCATGAGTTGGGGGTTGGAAGATGAGGTATGGCCGTATGGCCCTTTTCCCATGGCGCGAAGAGAGTGGACCCTAAACCAACTTGCTCCATTAGCAAGTGGAAAAGATCGGGAAGATGAGGTTCCACGAAACATAACAGTTATTTTTCAGGGTCAAACTCTAAAAAATCACCAGGTCACTTTGGAACTTTGGGAAACTGGTTGAACCAGAACTAGTTGCAATGCAAGGTGCCCAACTTCTGTGCTTCAGATTTTTGGTGCCAAACCTCTGGATCCAAAGTGATTGATACTGTCATAGATCATTATGGTTGATAGATTATGATACAAAACTGATAGAGTATAACAGTATAACAATGATAAATAATCTATACAAAACTGGTTGATACTATTTTTTGTTACCTCGTTTGCTGGAGATTTTCCATTCCTTCAGTGGTGCTTATCCACAATGGCGTTGTTCACCTCCATTCTTGGCGCCAACTCTACCAGCCATCTGCTGACCTGGATGGTGAAACAGACGATTTCTAGATCCAAGATGGTTACCAATTACCCTCCGGTAAACTAACATAACCATGGAAAATCACCATTTTTTATGGGTAAATCCACTATAAATGGCAATTTTCAATAGCTATGTTAGTTTACCAGAGGGTACCAAGTAGTTTTACCAAGTGCCACTTGATTGGCAATACTGGCAATAGCCTATAATCCATCGATTGATCCCCCATAATACACCCTTTATTTTGTTTCATCTTGTTAGTGACCTCGACCCCTTCACATTCTAGTGCTCTCTACCCTGTTAAGAACCACTTATTGGTGGCCATACCTCCTATAATCAAATCACTGGTTAGTTTTCGACGCCGAAACCACCTGAGGCTTGTGCCGTCCAAAGCGGCACTGCAGCGCTTTACGGTGCCATGAAGGTCACATGGATCCAGATTTTCCGCAGCTGGCAGTCAATTGAGCCATTAAAAATAGCCCGGTTGATGGGTTAATTGGTTGGGAGAAAAAAAACTACCTAATTTATTGGGGATTACGATAACCAATAGGAGGGAAACCACTTTCAACCAATGAGTATTTTGTGAGGATGGGACGTGATATTTTTAATGGCTCAATTCCCCATTTTTTAACAGGTCAATCAACGTAAATCAGCTAGAAGGGGAATTTTCGAGAACCTCTTGATTTACGTTGATCCCACCAGCAACGTCAACCTTAAAAATCCTTTTAACTACTAATGACATTTAAAACCTGGACTTATTTACTACATTCCATTGATTTTTGTACTTGAATGTGGTTTGTTCCAGGATTTTCATGTAGTAATAATGGTGTGCCAAGTTCGTGTACCACAGGCTATTGACCATGTCGCTCAGGGTTGTGGAGTGTCAGGGCTTGTCAGAAAACCCAGAACGAGCCGCCGAAAAATGCGCTGGCTGGGACATGTTTTTTCAGAATTAGGACATGACCCTCTGGTAATTTAAAGTAGCTATTGAAAATGGCCATACAAATAGTTGATTTACCTATGACAAATGGTGATTTTCCATAGCAAACTGTTAGTTTACCAGACGGTACCAGGAATTGCCTTTCTCGCAACACCCCAACTTCTGTGTGTTACATGTCTTTTTGGAGCCAAGTCAGGAGTGGCTTGTTATAGCAGCTGCGTCAAAATGACAATGGCATAGCATGACAAGAAGAAGATTTCGCTCCCAGTATGCACATGCCCAGTATCCTTTGGAATCTTCAGACTTGTTTGATTCTGATGTTGGGTTCCTGCATTTTACTACCATTTCATCTTGGAAAAAATCCTTTCGGCTTCAAAGCTTCAACGTGTCTCATCTTCGAATTCAACCGTTCGATGGAACATGATCCATAGACATAGTGGCAGCACCTGTTGCAACGGCTTTGCCCATAAATTGAATCCAATGTTGGCTAATGAGAACAAAACCTTCTAGTTGTAGTGTCAAAGACAGTTTGTGAATGGCGGATATGATATTATATATATACACATAACACACACATATATATATATATCATATATATATATATCATATATATAATATTTATGTATTGTATAGTATATAATATATTCATTGGATTTTCTTGAAGTTTGTTTGGTCATGAATGGTCGCAGGCGCTTGGAGTGTCCGAGCCCTGCCATCATGTCTTGGTGCCAGCCTTCACCTGTGGGGAGACCAACGGGTCAATGTGAATCATATGGGGGGACAGCAATGTTTAAAGGGTCTGCATAAATTATAACGACCTCACTGCGACCTCACTGGAATCATGGTTAGTAAGGGAAATCATCCCCAAATGGCCTTAATTCAGATGAGTGAAATATTATAATTTACCCAGGGTTAACAATAAGGGTTAACCATCAGAAATGATAGTTCTGCTAGTAGTTATAGAAACATGCTTAAAGATAGTAAGGTTGTTAACTATGACAGAAATGATAGTCGTTGTTTATAATGCTTAAAGATAGTAGTGTTAGTGAAACAATAGTAATCCATCCACAAATTTACAATAAATGGGTGTGTTAAACCATAAAAGTATGGATGTTTATTATTGCTTTAATAACAGTTATTGTTTATTGGGCTTACCGTTGTGTTTAATGGTGATCAGATGTGATACCCTCTGGTAAAACTAACATAACCATGGAACATCACAATTTTTAATGGGAAAATCCACTATTTCTATGGCCATTTTCAATAGCAAACTGTTAGTTTACCAGAGGGTAATGGTCAATGAGCGGGTGATTTTACCATGGGGATATAGTGGGTCAAAAAAGTGGGTTAATGGTGATGAATCATTGGGTAGTAATGGTCAAATGGAGGCTACCTTCAATAAATAAAACCCAGGTATACCCCTTAGGTGCTGGATTTTTTTTTGAATATTTTTTTGGAATATGTTGGAATATGGTCAATGATTGGCCGAATCCATGGAAAGACTTGGGCAAGCAATGATTTGACCAGTGGTTGATGATTGGTGTAGTCGGAAAACAAATGATAGCCAAAACACTCAGGCTCAAGATTCTATTGAGCACAGCATATGATGGACGGATGGAAAAAATAAAAAATCCTGCACTACCTTGGATTGTTGAAACCCTATGAATAATGGGATAAACCACCTCTCAACTGGTGCAGGATTTCTTCCATCCACTGTATGTTTGATGATTCAGGGCAATTGGTCTTCGGGTTTCCCTGAACTCGGACAGACGTGGAGGCAGCTGAACGGTGGATTAGCTGAAGGTGATAGCTGGCTTCATGGTACTCGCCAAAAAGTGTATTTCTAAGCCAGCTGCATTTGGGGCTATATCCACATGTTTTTGCCTGGTAGCCTTGGCCATGTCTTTTTTGTACATTGACAGTTATGGGTGGAGTTAATATAGTGATGGGTTAGCGTTGTTGGAGTTGGTTGATTTTGAAATTTACCAAGCATCATCCACTTTGATCCACTTTCTGATGCTTTCACGGGGTTTGTTGCGATGCTGGTGAGTTGAAGGCCCCCACTGATGCAGCCGCAGTTTTTAGTTGGCACTGGATTTACATGTTGAATTTGCCCAATTCACATTGCGTATATGCACCATCAAAAGTCATGCTAGATTCCAATGGGAATGCATTTTTAGATATATATATATTTCCCAGTCAAATCAATCTGGTTGGTTGTTTGGAACATGAATTTTATTTTTCCATATATTGGGAATGTCATCATCCCAAGTGACTCATGTTTTTTCAGAGGGGTAGGCTCAACCACCAACCAGCAATGGTAGGGTAGAAATCCAATTGACTTCCCAGTGGTAGCCATCCATGATTGACCAACACTAAGGCGCAGCGTGTGCTGATGCCATCGTGCACGCCGGTGGAAGGTGGGAAGCCGCAAGATCCAGCGTTTTGATTTCGGTTTCATGGGTAATCCCTAGGGATTCATATGAAATCAAAACCTGGATGTGGGTCAAAATGGAAGACCTAGGGGACCACAGATGTTAGTCTAGTTTAATATTAAAATATTAACAATCCAATTATTGGGGTACCTAATTTTGACCCATACCCACCTTGGTTCGTATTCAGTGTTAATCATGTGTTATCAATAACGGGTTAACCCAAGTTATGGTTGATATGATCATATGTTTTACATTATCCATGGGTTCATATGATTCATCATATGGCTGGTCGGCTAAGCCTGGTATTTTTCGTGAAGCCCAATTCGTAGTTGGTCAATGATGGGATTTTCATGATGTTCATCCCATTCCAATTGATAATCATTGGGTTTGACCCACTCCCATATGAATAACGCTTGGTTCATCAGGGTTAATGTTTGGTTCAGAATTGGATACTCGGTTGATAATGGTTGGTGAAAATAAAACCCAGTCGATTTTTGTTTGTGGTAGAATAATGGTTAACCTTAACACAAGCAGTTATATAATATAAAATAGATGAATGATCAAGAAGATCCAACAATCACCAATGGGGGATGTAATTGGAATAGAATGGAAAACATGACTTACAACCAAATTAATGCCATTGCTCCTTAATAGTCCTGAACGAATCGTGAACTGCTGGATGAGTTTAACGAAGAGAAATGGCAATGTTGGCAATGAACAACATGGCATCGTGGGAGATACATTGTCAACAATGCTTGATCATTGGGTACTCTCTGGTAAACGTTTACAACAAACGAACTGGAGAATCACCATGCTATTCATGGGTAAATCCACTATTTCGACTGGGCCATGGCTTCAAGTTCGCAAACTGTAAGAAATTACCGGAGGGAAATTCATGGGTCAACATATGGTTCTGAATCAATATTTCCAATGATCATCCACGGCTTGATTAATACTGTTTTTTTTTCATGGTTGACGAACATTATTAATTAATTGACGAAGTACTTATGGTTGATCATTGGTAATATGGCAATTTGGTTTAACCATAATATTGATATGATAATATATCAACCATTGATCATTGGTAATCATTGGTCAACAGGGATGATGCTCCGCTACCAATTAATCCCTGCGGGTTTGTCCAGAGATGGAGGATGAACCCTAAAGTGATGCCCTTGAAATACTGGGAACAGAGATGTCTTTAGACCATGAGATTAAACTGGGAGACTTTTAAGCAAAACACAAGACGTGTTTCCGGGTCGCGAAACAACTTTGATGCACAGTCATTTTGCTTCACCCTAGGATAAACTGACATAGATGTGGAAACTTCCACCATTCGTAGTTCATTTTTCTAGAGAAAACCCATTGGTTTTCCGAAACTCTTTGTATGCAAAAGACCTTCTATCGACATTTTTCAATCTGCCACCGCCTTGGCAGGTCGGGGCCGAGTGGGTAAACTAACGGAAAATGGACCGTTTATAGACTTATAGATGATTAAATTTACCTATTAAAATAGTGTCTTCCCATAGTTATGTTAGTTTATGTTAGTTGATCAGAGCTTAATCTTTCGGTTGATGGTTGTCTTCATGGTCGAGAGAGTGACAGGGTGACAAAGCGGGGACGATGGTCAAGGGATGTCCAGGGAATATCCATGACGATAAAGATTTACCCTCTGGTAAACGTTTACGTAACTATGGAAAATCACCATGCTATTCATGGGTAAATCCACTATTTCGACTGGGCCATTTTCAATAGCAAACTGTTAAATTACCAGAGGGTAATAAAGCTCAAAACAACTATCCATAACTCCATAACTATAAAGTTCCTGAACTGTGCCGTCCAAATCCTTGTTTGCTTTTTTCTTTAATCGAGGTATTTGGCAGCTACCGATTTGAGAGTTCACTGCCAGCGGTAGCAGTTGATGGAGCATCTCAAGATTTGGTTTCTCACGGTGATCGATGATTCACACATTCACTTCACAGAGATTTTGGATAGAACTGAATAGTGTAGATAAACAACACATAATAACATAACAAATTTCTAAGAAGTCAATAAATTTGTATTGATTATACTAGATACATAATGTAATCGGAATTAATAAATAATTTTGTTATTGTTTTTTTCTCATCTTGTTTTATGTAATCGGAATTTCTTGTAACAATAGCAATAACAACAATCGCTGATAAAAGATCTAAACAACATACATTCTTTCTGAATAACTGAATAACGTAAAAACACATATTCTTTATAACACACATTAAACAATACAATTCCTTGCGATAAATCCTAAAGAACGATGGCACATGGCTCCCGGGCCAGACATCACCAGCCGTGAAGGCCCATCCCCATCGACTGCGACTTGGAGTCCTATGGCGTATCGCTGGAGGCGGTACAGACCAGCTTGGAAGCGGACAAGGTGGGTTGATGGATGTTGATGGATGTTGATGCTTGGGGTTGAATCGTTGAAGTTGATGGATGTTGTTCTGAGATTTGATGGATGTATACCCTCTGGTAAACCTACAAAAAACTATGGAAAATCACCATGCTATGATGGGTAAATCCACTATTTCGACTGGGCCATTTCCAATAGCTACGTTAAATTACCAGAGGGTAAGTTGATGGTTGATGGTTGATGTTTCTTATTGATGGTTGATGTTTCATGTTGATGGTTGAATGGTGGATGTTTGATGTTGAATGGTGGATGTTTGATGGGTAATTTGTCAGATCGTTTTGTTGTTCCGCAAATGAAGGTCTGAATAAGATAAGCTGCCGAATAAACATTCTACCTGCAGCGACCTCCCAACGACCTCACCATCGATGGTGGTGACTGTATATTGCATTTGTAAATCCAAATGGGGGGGGCTTCCATTACCTCCTTGATGTGTCATGGAGGCCTTATCTTTCTCGTTGCCATACGTCAAGTAGCGCCAGTTTTGGGTAATGAATGTAATGCGGTAAACCCAAGAATGAGCCATCCCCCCATTTGGGGGTTATTCGGTATACCCCTATGTGGGAGGATGTAAAATGACACCCACGGCTCTTCCGAGCCTCACCTGACTCCTCACCACGCCCGCAGAACGTGGTGGGCATCGTTATTGCGCCTTGCTACGGAGTGCCTGCGCGGGACTTCGCAGCCATTCAGGTACCCTACGGCCCTACGGCCGCTAAAAGATTGGGAGCATGAGATTTGAAAGTGTGGGAGGGAATGAGGTACCACATTTTTCAGAGGAACCCACATTCTTTGCCAGGACTGGGCGTTCTGTGATATTTCATTCGTCATTTGTGGGTCTGACATATGTTTGCTGGAATGCATGCAACTGACTGCAAGAGGGTAATAGAAACCATATCAATATCCCTTTTCACTGTAGGACAGAAGCTGGGTGAAATAATAAGGTTATATTCAACTTTTGGCCGTTTCTCTACGGATTTGGGTTACTCTCAATGAGATCCAGATTACATCCTTTCTCACTTCGGATAGCATGGCTTGTATCATTTTGTATCTCCATTTTTGGCCCGTTTCTCTACCCCTTGAATTCTCCCGTGAATCTGCGTCTGGTTTCCCCATTTCCTCCATCTGGGCCTCGCGAAGTTTTTCGTTTGATCAGGGCCTGTGCAAAGAGCGCGGCTTATGGCTCTGCGAGGTATGGGAAGATCCGATTTTTGGTGAATCCCCGAGAACGAAATGATGGTTTAGTTCGCTGGGAATAACATCGATAAATGGGAAGATTAAATCATTGGATTCAGTGATGTGTTTTTTTTGCCCATAGAGAAATCCACTACTTGGAGAATTGAACAAGGGATAACAAGGGCATCTGAATGTTTTTTCTTTGGGTTCAATCCCAGTAACATCCAGTAACCCCCAGAAAGATAGAACAGTAATTTACCACAAGTTACTACTAGTCTAGTAGGATTTATTTTTCCACCGCCCATTGGGCGTGACGCCACATTTCAAAACACGAGAAGATTATGGCCTGATGAGGAAAACGATGGGACCCTTGAGGATAATCCGGAAGAACTTGGATGGGAAAGCGATGAGAAACATAGGGATAGGAGATATCTTAGTCTTCTTTCATTTTTTGGAACACGCCGGGATAGATTTGTTGAGAAACCATGGGGGATTTTTTGGTGAACAGGGGGAGAAAATGGGAGAAACCTAGATAAAATCACCAAACATCTGGGGATATCAATTGGATATCAGCCATTTCTCTGATGGTTAGTACTAAGAATGGCCAACATCTGCGATCCTCTGGACCTGGGGACTGGTGATTTTTCGACTTCCTGTGTTTGGGGGCGATGTTTCAACGGGACATTTTACTTCCCTCAATGACTATTGAATCCTACAGATGAATTTGGGAATGTAAACTTGATTGATTTTTGAGACCTCCATTGGTCGTGCATTGGAGCACCAGGCCCTTACATTTGAGGAATTCAACTGCTGAAAGACAAAGATCATAAGATCCAGAATTTCCGGAATTGGTTTAGAGGAACAACTAATAAACATTAGAGGACCCTCCCGGTTTGTATGGCAACCACCCAAGACAAATCCTGCTAAAAGTATTGTCCTTGTGTTCGGTACCTCCGAAGGTACCGTGGGATCAAAGGCCGTAGTATGGGATGTATCTGGTAATTTGACATAGCTATTGAACATGGCCATTTAGTTCGTTGATTTATCTATGAAAAGTGGGGAAAAAACATAGCCAATGTCATCTTAGTTTACCATAGGGTATCGAAGATTTACCTATTAAACATGGCGATTTTCCATAGCAAACTATAACAAATTACCAGAGGATAGGCTTTACCTCCAATTTCGGCGCAGGATGCCTGTGAATCCTACGGAGCCAGCTGTAACGTTTGGTGGCCCAGGTGTTGAGTAAACACCAAGATTCATATAGGGGATTTAACATACACCACTTTATAGACTCCAAACATGTGGCCATTCCAGTTTATACCAGGCTATTCTCTATAAAGTCGGCCGCAAAGCATCTAGCGAGCTGTACATGGGGGTTTATATATATATATATTTATACATATGTATATGTAGAAGAATGCAGTTTGGACCTACACTCAACATTTAACCAGCAAGATATATCAGATATGAACCCACAATCATTAATCATGGACACAGTTTATTTCCTTATTTGCTTTCGTGAAACATCACCTGAAATGAAGGTCACCAGGGCGTGTTATGGAGATCTGGAACCCTGTTGAAGTGGAAAGTAGAAATCTCGAAATGTGGTAAACCCATGTAAACCCAAGAATCCTGTCGTTTTCTGTAGATGTTCCATGGATTTTTCCATTGAACCCAGTGAATTGCCTTGCCTTAGGCCCTAAGAACATGGATAGGATGAGTTCTTTCTGAGGTCAGAGGTTTCAAGGTTCCAGTGGGCTCGGTGGCGACCCTGTCTGTAGTCTCCGTGTGCGGTGGCCGAGACATGGATGGAAGGTGGACTGCGTTGCATGCTGATGGGATATGAAACTCATATGAAACTCATATGAAACTCATATGAAACTCATATGAAACTGATATGAAACTGATATGAAACTGATATGAAACTGATATGAAACTGATATGAAACTGATATGAATATCATTCAAGATGGATATAATATAGCTAATATGGATATCTCCAAGCTATTCCAAACTTCATTTGCCATGTCAGACTTGGGTCCCGCAACGGGGTTCACGGCATCTGCCTCCAGCAGGAATTTTGTCGTGATATTTCTCATTGGATTGGTGAAAGTTGGGAAAATCTTCACCGGAAACCATGGGTTTTTCTGGTAAATAGATATGGCGGATGTACTGGGATAGAATAGTATGTAATTACTGATATATATATATATATATAGAATTCCCATTCATATCTGATTGGTGGTAACTGGAACCATGGAATTTTTGATGATTTTCCATTCAGTTGGGAATAAAAATCTCCCATTTGACTCATATTTTTCAGAGGGGTAGGTATACCACCAACCAGATTAAATATGGGGGGTTCCTATAGATTTTCCCTTTTCATCCAATCCAATGACTTTGAAGTGGATGATTGAATATAGGTATCGTAGCGTGCCAGGGGACAACAAGTCACTGACTCTGAGTTATGTAATGTTACATGTAGGCATCTTTCCTGGTGATGTCATGTGATCCCGCATGTGATATCTCCATTTATGTTTGGTTCAAGTGTTGTTTGGCTAATCAAATTCACTTTTCTTGGTTGATTTGAAACATTTTTCAACATGTCCCACATGTCAAATCTCTATTTTCTGTTGATACCCTATGGTAACTAACATAGCTATGGAAAATCGCCATTTTTGTAAATCAACTAATGGCCATGTTCACTGGCAATGTTAAATTCCCAGAGGGTATTTGTTGATTGAACTAATCCTTTTTTGTGTTGAATGTCCAAGGGCCCTGGCGCAAAAAGCGCGTGTCCGGCAGTTTTTTTTGAGGCGTTCGGAGAAGATGATTGGGGTGGGCGAGGTGGGCGCACTGGGGGGTGGTTTCAAAGGTTGGTTGGTTAGTGATGGTTAGTATGGGTTGTCTCAAAAAAAGGTTGGTTAGTGTGCAATGGTTAGTGTTTCAAATGGTTGGTTAGTGTGGGAGACTCTGGACTCTGGTAAACTAACAACAACTAACAGCTTGCTCTGGAAAATCATCGATCAACTGTAAATGAATCATTTTTCTCAGCTATGTTAGTTTACTAGAGGGCATAACTTGTAAGCCCAACGTTTTGCCTTCCAGGAACATGGTGATTCATCGGTGGATTGTGGCTTCACCTATTTTCGGACTTGTATTTTCAGCAACAAACAATGGTGATGATGATGATGATGATGATGAGGATCACGCTTGATGGATGCCAGATGTAGATCTGATATCCAATCATCAACTATCAACTAAAACAAATACCAATCGCATCAACCATTGGACCATTAGTGACCATTAATTTGCTAATCATCAACCTATCATATCCCATCATACCCTCTGGTAAACGTTTACATAACTATGGAAAATCACCATGCTTTTAATGGGAACATCCATGAAAATCCACTATTTCGACTGGGCCATTTTCAAGTTCGCAAACTGTTAAAAATTACCAGAGGGTACCCATCCCATTATCATCCCATTATTCACCATTGTTAACCATTAAATCACCATTTTCCTATGGTAACAATGGTGAATAATGGGATGATAATGGGATGATAATGGGATGATAATGGGATGGGTACCCTCTGGTAATTTGTTAACTATGGTAACCCATGAAACTATGGTTTAAACCATAGGATTAAATCCCATTATCTGGTAATTTGGTAAACCATAGGGTTTTTACCCCATCCATATCCCCATGGTATCCATCAAACGCACCAGGGTGGAGCCATCCTGGGCAACGACGCCACCCTGGTGGCGCGCGCCAAATGGTGGTGCTCTCGGGCGCCGTGCCGTGGTGCGGGAGCCCGAAGTCTGATTTCAAACCTCGAAAAAATGATGAAACACCTGGAAAATCATGGGAAATATGGTGGGAAATGGGATTTTGATGGATTTTCAATCTGTTTTTTTTTTGGAATTCGATGGAATTAGGGATTTTATTGATGGATTTTGAGCGTAAGCAACCTGGGAGTTATTAGGGAATTCGGATGTTTACTATGTTTACGTTTTTTCACTGAACATTGCAATAGTATGCAATAGTTGCTGTAGCATTTAGTTTGGAATTAACGGCCGTTCCTAGGTAAACAGGCAAGCTATGGTGAATTTTGCCAACCAAGTTTCCGGGGAACCATGAAAGCATGGGGAAGTTTGGTACTATAGTGGCGTCTATTTGCAAACAATCACCTAGCATAAATTAATAGTTTGTGGGATTTGTTTGGGAATTTTCCGATATATATATATATATATCTCAAGATTTACGGCTATCGGATTCCCTTCCAAAATGGAGATGATGTGAGGATTCAAGACTGACCATTGGGAACTGCGGGCAAAATACAGAGCAAGTGACAGAGCGGATGACTCATTCGTTTGGGATGGACGATGGTGGAGATTTATACTCGACTCGGTAGTGTTATGAGGCTACTCTAGCCAGAGACAGACAGCAGATAAAATTTAATAAATTGCATCTACAGGTGCATCTGTAGTAACCCTTAAAATTGCATATTGCATCTTGGCATCTTGCCAAAAATGCATCTGTAGCTTTCTCCTCGTTCCAGAAATGCATCTGTAACTTTTACTTCTTTCAAGAAATGCAAACAAATTGGTGTGTGTGTGTGTTTGTGTGTAATGTATGTAATGTAACGTGATGTCATGCAATGTGATGTAACGTCATGCAATGCGCTGTAATGTTATGGAATGAAATGTAACCTAATATAATGAAATGTAGTGTAGATGTATGGTTGTATGTTTGTTTAATGTAAGCGCGGATGGGTGCATCCAAGGATGGATGTACAATGTACTGTAGTGTAAGGCTCAAGCCTAGCCTCATAACGGTAGTGAGCGTCTACCACTCGGTCCGCTGGTATTCAAGGGACGTCTGCATTGATGGTAGAAACAGAACGCTTGATAAAGGGGATGACGGGATGTATCAGTATCGATGGGTCTGAGAGCTTGATCTCGTGGGAACGGCAGAGTGTGTTTATTTTAGGCGGTGAATAGTGAACAAGACTAATGTGGGTAAAACGATAATACACCATCCATTTGGGAATACCATCTATTTCTGGTGAACTTGGAGATGGTTTATTATTGTTTTACCAGCATTAGATCATTTGTTTGAGTAATTTTGGGTGCTCACTGACTGACTGACCCAATCTGACCCATAGCCACATTGTAATATCCGTCATTCACAATGAAATATCCATATGTTTTGTCTGGTTCAATCCACTTTTGGTTGATTATAAGCATTATAATTATAATTATACATGATATATGATGTATGTATATATATGTATATATATATATATTCCCACTATATAATCAAAGGAAGTTGGGAAGCAATACTTCCGTGTTACGGACAAATAGAATTATGCGACTGGAAATGATGCAGGGTGGTAGATCACATAACAATACATAACATAACAATACAGTACATAACAAAAGAATAAGAAGCAGTGGAATTGACTTTGATGAAGGGTGGTGATAATGACGGGTGGTGACGAAGGGAAGTGGTGACGAAGGGAAGTGGTGACGAAGGGAAGTGGTGACGAAGGGAAGTGGTGACGAAGGGAAGTGGTGACGATGGGAAGTGGTGACGAAGGGAAGTGGTGAAGGGAAATGGTGAGGAAGGGAGGTGGTGACGATGGGAAGTGGTGAGGAAGGGAGGTGGTGACGAAGGGAAGTGGACGAAGGGAGGTGGTCACGATGGGAAGTGGTGATGATGGGAAGCGGTGAGGAAGGGAAGTGGTGACGAAGGGAAGTGGCGACGAAGGGAAGTGGTGACGAAGGGAAGTGGTGACGATGGGAAGTGGTGACGAAGGGAAGTGGTGACGATGGGAAGTGGTGACGAAGGGAAGTGGTGAGCGATGAAAGCTACCTCGTTTGTGCGGCGGTTGCGGCTGGGGTCGTTTGGTTCCTTCTATGTGTTTTGCAACAATGCTTGTTCCTGTGTGTGTAGTTCTATGCGTTTCTTGACGCTGTGGTGCCAGATCGCATTGGAATGGCTGCATGATGTTGCATGCCGTGTGTTGTGGGGAGGAAGCCGGAGCACGAAACCGTGTGTTTTTCCGTGTAAAGTGGCTGCAGCCGGCGATGAAAGCTACTTCGTCTGTGCGACGGTTGCGGCTGGGGTCGTTTGGTTCCTTCTATGTGTTTTGCACCAATGTTTGTTCCTGTGTGCGTAGTTCTATGCGTTTCTTGACGCTGTGGTGCCAGATCGCATTGGAATGGCTGCATGATGTTGCATGGGCTTTGTGTGGGGGAGGAAGCCGGAGCACGAAACCTTGCGTTTTTCCGTGTAAAGTGGCTGCAGCCGGCGATGAAAGCTACCTCGTCTGTGCGGCGGTTGCGGCTGGGGGCGGTTGGTTCCTTCTATGTGTTTTGCCACAATGCTTGTTCCTGTGTGCGTAAGTCTATGCGTTTCTTGACGCTGTGGTGCCAGATCGCATTGGAATGGCTGCATGATGTTACATGGGCTTTGTGTTGGAGAGGAAGCCGGAGCACGAAACCGTGTGTTTTTCCGTGTAAAGTAGCTGCAGCCGTGCTTGTTCCTGTGTGCGTAGTTCTATGCGTTTCTTGACGTTGTGGTGCCAGATCGCATTGGAATGGCTGCATGATGTTGCATGGGCTTTGTTTGGGGAGGAAGCCGGAGCACGAAACCGTGTGTTTTTCCGTGTAAAGTGGCTGCAGCCGGCGATGAAAGCTACCTCGTCTGTGCGGCGGTTGCGGCTGGGGTCGTTTGGTTCCTTCTATGTGTTTTGCCACAATGCTTGTTCCTGTGTGCGTAGTTCTATGCGTTTCTTGACGCTGTGGTGCCAGATCGCATTGGAATGGCTGCATGATGTTGCATGGGCTTTGTGTTGGGGAGGAAGCCGGAGCACGAAACCGTGTGTTTTTCCGTGTAAAGTGGCTGCAGCCGGCGATGAAAGCTACCTCGTCTGTGCGGCGGTTGCGGCTGGGGTCGTTTGGTTCCTTCTATGTGTTTTGCAACAATGCTTGTTCCTGTGTGCGTAGTTCTATGCGTTTCTTGACGCTGTGGTGCCAGATCGCATTGGAATGGCTGCATGATGTTGCATGGGCTATGTGTTGGGGAGGAAGCCGGAGCACGAAACCGTGTGTTTTTCCGTGTAAAGTGGCTGCAGCCGGCGATGAAAGCTACCTCGTCTGTGCGACGGTTGCGGCTGGGGTCGTTTGGTTCCTTCTATGTGTTTTGCAACAATGCTTGTTCCTGTGTGCGTAGTTCTATGCGTTTCTTGACGCTGTGGTGCCAGATCGCATTGGAATGGCTGCATGATGTTGCATGGGCTTTGTGTTGGGGAGGAAGCCGGAGCACGAAACCGTGCGTTTTTCCGTGTAAAGTGGCTGCAGCCGGCGATGAAAGCTACTTCGTCTGTGCGGCGGTTGCGGCTGGGGTCGTTTGGTTCCTTCTATGTGTTTTGCAACAATGCTTGTTCCTGTGTGCGTAGTTCTATGCGTTTCTTGACGCTGTGGTGCCAGATCGCATTGGAATGGCTGCATGATGTTGCATGGGCTTTGTGTTGGGGAGGAAGCCGGAGCACGAAACCGTGTGTTTTTCCGTGTAAAGTGGCTGCAGCCGGCGATGAAAGGTACCTCGTCTGTGCGGCGGTTGCGGCTGGGGTCGTTTGGTTCCTTCTATGTGTTTTGCAACAATGTTTGTTCCTGTGTGCGTAGTTCTATGCGTTTCTTGACGCTGTGGTGCCAGATCGCATTGCAATGGCTGCATGATGTTGCATGGGCTTTGTGTTGGGGAGGAAGCCGGAGCACGAAACCGTGTGTTTTTCCGTGTAAAGTGGCTGCAGCCGGCGATGAAAGCTACCTCGCCTGTGCGGCGGTTGCGGCTGGGGTCGTTTGGTTCCTTCTATGTGTTTTGCAACAATGCTTGTTCCTGTGTGCGTAGTTCTATGCGTTTCTTGACGCTGCGGTGCCAGATCGCATTGGAATGGCTGCATGATGTTGCATGGGCTTTGTGTTGGGGAGGAAGCCGGAGCACGAAACCGTGCGTTTTTCCGTGTAAAGTGGCTGCAGCCGGCGATGAAAGCGACCTCGTCTGTGCGGCGGTTGCGGCTGGGGTCGTTTGGTTCCTTCTATGTGTTTTGCAACAATGATCGCATTGTAATGGCTGCATGAATGTTGCTTGGTGCTGCGCAATACTATTGAAAAAGGACCATGATCTGCATCGCGCTGGGTGCTGAGTTCTGCTTACTTCTGAAGTAAAGACGTGTGGCTTCAATGGTGTTTGATACAAAATAAAACAGTTTCTGATAGATGCCAAGCAAAAAAAAAGTATGGTAAAAAAGGGACACATGAAGAATTCAAGTTTGTGAAGAAACTGGGGAATGCGAATCAGAACAGGATGGGTGCATGGGTTGTTAGATGTTTCCTGTCATGTGAAGTACTGTTTGCTCCACACTGCAACGATGTGTTTATGCATGATAGACTGAAGGCCAGCATCGATGTCCTATCTCTGGTTTGACGTGCTTGCAGCTGTTTGCAGTGATGGCTTCCAAGGATAAAGTACAGTAAGAGAAGTTGCACGGAATACAGTTAGTTCATGCCGTGACGCACATAACCTTGCTATATCTCCATGTCTCTACTTATTGTATTACACGACAGGAGACTCATATTGCAGCTAAGCTCTGCTGTTAGAGAATCGCTTTGCCACCGTCCTCGTGCGACAGTGCGGTCCACGAGGGCAACCGCCATGGCTATCGGACCTTGCGACTTCTGGCGGTTGGCAGTCGATTTCGAATTGCTGGATCTCCATGCGCTCAGCAACGTGAGCGCTGCTTCGACAGCTACAAATGCATGTGTGCTGCAGAGCGCCAACCTTAGAAACTTGCTGCAACGCAAAGTGGAAGAGGAAGGAAATTTGGAGTCGCAAAACTTGAGGATTGACATTGGCTTCGAAGAAATGGCGGCTCTCAAGCATAGCTTGAAGATTGCATTGCACGTCTACAACGCGTTGCAAAATTCACTATGCTTCGCGGAATATTGGTTTGGGTTACTTCAAATATGGACTCTGCGCTGGTTGTTTCGAAGCCTTGACAACTGTTTGCACGGAACAAGACGATACCTTGGCAGAACAGCGCTGCGTTGCCCTGACAGATGATGGTGTGCACGCTGCAGCCATGTTGTTGAGTGCTTACCGAGCAGGTGCAGAATGTCGTTTGTCGCAAGCAGATGCAGCTTGGGTCCGCACTGTCATTGCAGATAGTGAAAACTTCTTGCCTGATTTGCTTCGTGAAGTGCCCTGACGGACAACCAGGCTTCCAACGTGATAAGCTCTCCAGCCTTTCGTGCCAGTGCGGGCCGAAAAGCTGCCAAAAGCCTAGACGACCAAGTGTAGCGCAGAGAAAAAGCAGCTGTCGAGCTTGGACTGCGTGACTCTCCTTGACAGGTAACAACTACACCATGTTCACACTTGCCGTTGCGATTTGATGCAATGCATCAACGCTTGGCATTAATGACCTCAATATTGTAAATATTTTATTGTCTACGCCTTTTGGCATGTAGAAGAACCAACATGAGTTACGCTCAACCTTGCTGACGTGCAGAAGCGCCGAGAAGAGCTCAGATGAGATGAAGTGTGGAGTGTGAAGAGTGCAGTGTGAAGTGTGGGGCGTGAAGAGTGCAGTGTGAAGTGTGAAGTGTGGAGTGTGAAGAAAGCAATGAGAAGTGAGAAGTGTGAAGTGTGGACTGTGAAGTGTGGAGTGTGAAGTGTGGATTGGGGAGAGTGCAGTGTGAAGTGAGAAGTGTGAAGTGTTGACTGCGAAGGGTGCAGTGTGAAGTGTGAAGACTGTCAAGTGTCAAGTGTGAAGTGGAGCTTCACATGTGACATGTGAAGCAGGACACAACTTTCGCAGAGTGCACGCACGCACAGGCTTGGCTGGCGCACGGCGCATGCAAGTTCTATAGATGAGAACGGTCTCATATATATCTTTAAGGCAACTTCCGCCCCGCCTCGTGCGAGTACTACTGGTATACTTAATGATTGTCAAGTCATACATATTTTCCACCCACCATATCAACCCACTATACAATCCCATAACCATCGCTTTTAATGACAATTTTGTGTTCAACCCCAAGACCCCAGGGCAGAGGGGTCTTGCTTCGCAAGGTGTAGGCCTGTGGCGGGTCTACGAGCACGATGCGGTGGGGCAGAACTTCCGCATGCCCGAGATGTTCGGGGTCCCTGTGGTCCCTGCGGCACTGGACTGGGTGAAGGCATGGTGCTTGGTATACCATTGGTACCTGCGGTGATTTATGGTGATTTACCTTAATCAAAGGCAATGGTGATACTCTTATGGGATTTATGATGAAACTGCATTTACAAAGGTAATGCCAGGTGATTTACCTTTATCTGCTGTGATTTATGGTGATACTATGTGATACTCTTGTGGGCTTTATGCTAATCAGAGAATCGATCAAGATGGGCATGAGGTTTTGGAGCTGATGAAATGGTGGAGCTGAAATTTATGGTGTACCAGATACTTGAGTGGTGTTGCAACTACTTGACCAACACCCGTTTGCCTAGAAATTTTAGTGGTTCTCTCCTTGAGCGTATATGGGGCCCGTTTCAAAGGGTAGGGGCCCATCATTGCTGCGCCAACAAATAACCAACAAACGTAGAAGCTGGGTCAGCGCATGTCAGCGCCCAATGGACTGGTGCCTAACACTGGAAGGCGATACGGATGGTTTGAGGGGCAGCTGCTTGTCTCCATTATACATCTTATGAAATTCCATTGAATCAACACCCAATTAATATACAAGTAGATCCCATTCTTAAATTCCATTAGCATACTAGAAATCCTACCACAAAATACCACAAATGGAATTTGATACCACAAATGGTATATATCCCCCATTCGTGTTGGCTTAATATACCACAAATGGGGGACTTCTGTCCTCCGCGTTGGCTCCAGCACTCCCGGGCGCGTTGCGGCCCGGGGGAGGCCCCCCAAACGAAGTAGTCAGGGAGATTTCCCTGAAATCCAAACAAACCCCCAAACAATAGAAAATCGATAGACTACACATACTGTATATTACTGTATATTTCCAGAATATTTAAAATCACTTTTGACATACTTTGACAGTGTTATTGTCCACATTAGATCTACAATTTGTCGGTGAAAAAAAACGCCACATCCATCCTCCAACATGGCGTCTGCCTGGGCGACCCTGCTGTTCCTCTCTGCAGCCGTCGCGACGGAGCTGAGACATCGAGGTGTCCTGGCGTCACTGGGGTCCTGGCGTCCAGCCAGCCATGCTGGTAACATCGGCAGTTTGATATTGTTGATGAGATGATGTCCGTTCAGTCTATGCATTTATGGTGGGTTACAGTGTATCAAACAACGTTCATGGTTGGTAAAAACAAATGTAAAAAAACGATTCTGGTACCCAATCTGATTGGTGGTTTGGAACATTTTTTATTTTTCCATATATTGGGAATGTCATCATCCCAACTGGCGAACTCAGAGGGGTAGGTATACCACCAACCAGCAATAACTTCTACCCAACCTGTGTCACCACTTCTTTCCGATGAATCTCACAGGCGCCGGACCCCTCTGCTCCTGTGACTGCTGCAGTGTGGCGCAGCGTCGTGCGGATGAGCGGAAGAATCAGATGGGTCGCGCGGTTCGCAGTGCGGTGGGTCCTGGTGGGTTGCTGAGGGTTGTTGGGGTGGGAAGTCAGGAGGTACCCTGCCTGGTAAACACACAAAAAGCTATTGACAATTGCCATAGAAATAGCTGATTTTCCCATTAAAGATGGTGATTTTTCCATAGGTATGTTAACGTTGACCAGAGTTTACAACTTGGGTGTCATCAAACATGGCTAGCTGGGAAATCCCTGAGCTTTTGTTCGGAAATTCCGCGAACCAAATGGTCCATTTTCCAGCTACAGCTAGCCGTGATTAGCGGAGGCTTCTTGTGGGTTTTGCTCAAACGCAGGGGATATCCCAAAAGCACTTCTTAACGGGGAAATTGTGGGACATTCATCTTCAACCTTCAGATTTTGGAGTGCTTGATTTGCAGACAAACCATGACAAACCCGAATGTTGACTTTACTGATGGGTTCATCAAGTCCCGTGGCCGCTGAAGGTCCGATTCTAGTGCATGGATCATCGCAAGTTGGTATGACTTAAGTCACTTCGCAATATCAATTGCCTAACAAGTATATATATATATAGAACATGTAGAGAAAAATCAAGGTCTAGATTATTTTCGGGACTTGGGGATGGGTAAATTTGAGATTCTATCAATTCTATCTCCAGGATGGGTGAAACACCCCTTCTAAAATGAGGAAAGAGACCAATTTGCCTTCCATTTTTTCGGCCTGTTTTCGCCATTGTCTCCTATCCGGCCGGGCCCAGCCGATGGATGGGCCCGTGGTCCCGTAATTTTCAACCCAGTTTGAACCCTGTCGGCTTCTCCGTGTAAAAGTGTTTTTGTGTAAAAGCTGCTCCTTGCAAAAGCGTCTGTGTGCAAAAGCTGGCTTCTGTGTGTAAAAGTATCTGTGGGTGAAGGCTGCTCTGTGTACCAGCGTCTGTGTGTAAAAGCATTTGCGCGTAAAAGCTGCTCTGTGTAAAGGCTTGCGTAAAAGGTGCTCTGCGTGAAGGCGTCTGTGTTAAAAAGCTGCTCGGTGCAAAGGCTTTGCGGTGTAAAAGCTGGGAAAGGCGTCAATGGAAAACCCATTGTGACCAATCGGTAGAAGGAACGGGTCTTCGATCCAATAGGTTTTTGGGTTCTTGACACTGCCCAGTTGAATGGTTTGGGCATTGAAGCGTTGCATTGCCAACGCTTGCAGGTAGCATGGCTTCCCGTCCTGTAGTTAGGCGCTGGCGCGTGGGGATTGCGCGGTCGAAGAGTTCAGGTTTTATATTTTTTTTACACCCAAGGGCAACCAACAGCAACCATCAGTAAGAAATGGTTGACACGGATAGCAACCAACACTCAACCGTCAAGGATATGCTGGTAAAGATCATCCGTTGCAAGCGGCAAAGGGCTTCGGCGATTGAGCTTCCGGAGCAGGCCCGCGGGAATCTCGAATGTGGTTGGCGGATGCAACACCCAAAGTCCATGAAAAACAAATGTCCCCAGTTTTTTGAAGTTGGGACTTGGGATTGCCCCACATATGATTTTCGATGTTTTGATGGAGATGCACCATCGTGGAATTGAACAGCTGGTAATGTGACAATGTCTTTGATCCGGGTGGGCAGCAAAACCCCATAGGGTGGTTTCACAGGGTGAATCCCTTCGGTGGGTTCCTTGGGCGTGGAGAGCGGGCTGCCGATTTTTTGACTTGGCTTTGACAGCAAAGTATACCCACTGGACCAGATTGAATATCCAACATCTTCAATCTTGAACACGCATTTCCTAAGGGGGACGGTATTTACATACTCCAGAATGGGCAATTCTTTGGGTATGGGCCCACCTTGGGGAAGCTCTTGTTGTGGCAAATGACACCGACAGACCGAGTCAACCAAGGTCCGCGCCGTGGGCGATCTACAGCTGCTGATGAGTGGACAAGCTGCGCGCACAGATGGAAACATCACAATGGCGAAACGAGCGATGCAGAAGAGTTCCAAGAATTGGAGCGGAGCGACTTGTTCAAGTTTTTTTTGCGTCTTTGATCACTATGTGCTGCCATTCCTTTGAATTCGCAATGCGCACGCACACAAACGAACAAGCACAATCAAACACGTCCTTACTGGGAAACTGAGAAAGCTGCTCGCGACAGCCACGCTTCTCTCTTTTTGCCACTATGAAGCTGAGGTTTGGCCAGCAATTCACCAGAAGAAACTCCGAGTTCAGATGGATCACCCTGTTAAAGAAACCACGACTGAAGATAGATCAAATTTGTGTCCGGAGCATGCATGTGCGTCATTCTTAGTGTTTCCTTTGTTCCCGCATGTGTCCAGAGGTGGGTTGTACACTGTACACTGTACACGTTGTATTCTTCTATAGTAATACAGTATTATAGGTAAAACATTCTTGTGGCCCCACTGTTTTCATGTTTTGCTGCATCATTGTGTGTGCATTCTGAATCTTAATCTTGTTTCCGGGTCTCTAGATTTTACCAAAGGTGCAGTTCCTTCTCCTTCTTCTCCTTCTCCTCCTTCTCCTCCTTCATCCTCGCCTCCTCCTCACCTCCGCCTCCTTCTGCCAGCTAGTCGTGACTGTGGGCACAAAGCGACGCGAGCTGCGGGTGCTGTGGGACCCGGCTGCAGATCGCCATACACATGCCAGAGAGAATGTCAGATAGAATGCCAGGCAGAATGCCGGGTAGAATGCCAGAGGGAATGCCAGAACATAACATGTCAGATGGGCTGCCAGAAAGATTGCAGAAAGAATGGCAAAACTTATGCCAGATAGAATGTCAGAACCAGTCCAGATAGAATGCCAGAATGAATGCCTGACAAAAATGCAAGCTAGTCTACCAGATAGAATGTCAGAATAGATGCCCGATAGAATGCCAGTAAGAATGTCAGGTAGAATGTCAGAGTATATACCAGAAAGAATGTCAGAATATATATATATACACACATACATGCCATATATACTTCCAGATGGTATGGCAGAAGCTATGTCAGAATAGTGTGTCGGGGTGGGATTCACTCGAAGTAAAGCACTTCTATTCTTGAGTTTTTTTTGGCGCCTCAGGTCCCCAGCCCCTTAGCATTTAGGGCTTTAGGGTCTAGTCTCCAAACGTCTTGTTGCATTGCCAGGCTAGTTTAATCAAGAAGAGGATGGATGCAGCAACTCGCATCCAAGTACCCGGGCATGGAGCACTGAGGAACGTGAAGCAACGGTTCTTGGCAAGCAGCTCCGCCTCTTGAGCACGGGCCTTGGAAGAAGGGGCCAAATCGAGCGTGGGGGGCTCGGTGCCCCAAGGAGTAATTAAACAATTGGCTGACACTGTCAAGTCCCAGTAAGCCCAGACAGCAAGAAATGGGGACATTTCCCCTCCGAGAAATTTCCACTAAAGATTCAAACCTATTTAAACTGAGTGTTGGCCGAGGTGTTCAAGAGGAGCTGCTTGAGCAAAGAGCCAGTCAGTGCAAAGCGGCGCTGGCTCGGGAGGCTAGTTGCGGACACCTGACCAGTAGTTTGTCAACTGTTCCCGTCATCTTGCTGTCAGGCGGCGGGCGGTCTTGGCCTTGAAGGTCAAGTGGAGAGTGATGGCTTTTAGACTGTTTCGTTTTGAGGGGGGCATATTCCCATTTATCGCATTTAAATGGATATCCGTACCTCAAAAAAAGGGTATATGGTGATGCTAAACTGAATGGATTTGGGGTATAACCCCCTTTTTAGACAAACTAATGCAAAGCCAGCCATGAGCAACGTGGGAAGGACCTCATAGGACTCCGCCGGCGTTCGTGGACGTGCGAGCGTCTCTTGAGCCCGTGCTTTTGCCCTTGCTAAAGAATGGTATTTCTTGCAAACATGATGTTTCAAATGCGCATTTTTTGGGGATAGCGTTGTAATGAACAAACATGAAAGAACCATGGGAGAATCAAATGAAACCAGCTGAGAATATATGGTAACCTCTCGCAATACATAGGATGGACATGATTAAACCTGCTATGTCCTACTACTAGAATCTACTAGTATAAGGGATGGTAAGGTACGTGCCTGCACCGCACTCTGGCATTTCCAATGCATGTCCGACAGGCCTTGAACTCAGAACTTTGTATTGAACGTGTTGCTGGGCTCATGGCCGCTGGGGCGAATGTACCGTGGTCCACGCATTTTCCCAGCTATGTTTTTGCCCGACACTGGCACGTTTGATCCCGCTGGACGTGTGGATTTACAGGACGTCACGCTTTTGCAAAGCAAGCTTCGCTGGTCTGCCCAACGCTAGCCGTCTTCGCTCCAGTTTTTTTAAAATCAAAGTCAAATCTTGCGAGCAAAAGGTGGCGCTGAAAGAGCTCAGAGTTCACTGTTAAACTGCCTTATATTGCTCCGGGTTTTGGGTTCCTGGGAGACTTCTTGCGGGCATAAAACCATGAGCGACTGTGAAGCATCATGTTCCCACCCTGATCACTTGCGCATTTTCCAGCTTTGGCTTTGCCAGTCAACACTTGTTCTGCAGCCTGCAGCCGGCAGGAAACACACCTCAACCCAGCGCAGAACTTCATTAATTCACATTCTGAACAGCGCGCACGATGATCATGCAAATTTGTACAATTCCTTTGAGCATATCTGAAGCCTCCAATGCAAACCTACTACGAGATGAGGACATGCTTGGGGCAATATGGATCGGTTTCGTGGTTGTTTGCCTTGGTGAAATTCAGTTGTTGAACGCTAATTTGGGTGGTTGGATCAAGTTGGATCACATTTCTTTCACCATTGGATCACGTTGCTTTCGCCTTTTTGCTGTCGCATGCGCACCACGACCCTAATTTTGTGAAACCATGCAGAAGGACTTTAAAGTTCAATGGTTTATTCTTAAGGAGTCATGATTGTCGAAGGAAGTTTAGAAGTGAAACTTCCGACAATATGGACAGTTGAAAAGCAGAGGTGAGACGAGCCAGAAGAGACAAGACCAGAAGAAAGAAGATGCAGATGCGCGAAAAGATAGGAAAGTCGCGATTCACTATGTTTCAATGATTTGTGGCTCCGGAGGGTCGAAAAGTAGGCTCGCTAAAGCGGCGGGTGCGGAGCCAGCTGGCCAGATGAGACATGAAAAAGTGCACGCTGTTGTGGCGCGAAGCACATTTCCAAGTCAAAATGGACAAAACACTAGAGGAGCGGACCACTTTTGGAAGTTGAGATGTCGAAAAAGTGCACGCCGTTGTGGCGCGAAGCACATTTTGAAGTCAAAATGTGCAAAACACACCATTCTCGGACCACTTTTGGAAGTTGAGATGTTGGAAAAGTGCACGCCGTTGTGGCGCGAAGCACATTTCCAAGTCAAAATGTTAAAAACACTAGGGGTTCGGACCACTTTTGGAAGTTGAGATGTCGAAAAAGTGCACGCCGTTGTGGTGCGAAGCACATTTCCAAGTCAAAAGTGTTAAAAACTGACGGTCTCGGACCACTTTTGGAGGTTCAGATGTCGGAAAAGTGTCAAAAAAGTGCACGCCGTTGTGGCGCGAAGCACATTTCGAAGTCAAAGTGTAAAAAACTGAGGGTTTTGAGCCTTTTTTGACGTGAAGATGTCGAAAAAGTAGACACTGATTAACTTAACTAACTTGACTAACTTAACTAACTTCACTAACTTAACTACCCTAACTTCGACGACAACGACAACAGCAACAGCAACAACAACAGCAACAACAACAACAACAACAACAACTACTACTACTACTACTACTACTACAACTACACAACTACACAACTACACAACTACACAACAACTAGAACTACAACTACAACAACTACAGCTACAACAACTACAGCTACAACAACAACAGCAACAACAACAACTACAACAACAACTACAACTACAACTACAACAACTACAACTACAACTACAACTACAAAACAACTACAGCTACAACTATATGACTGCAACTACACTACACTAATTACATTACACCCCAACTACAACTCCACTACGCTACAACTACAACTACAGTTGCAGTACATCACACTACATCCAGCAGTTGTGGGTGAGGTGACCACTGCAACCATTGCAACCATTGCAACCATTCCAGCAAACACAACTCCAACCACCTTTCGGTCAATCAGTGGATTCGCTCTGCCATCCGTGATTCACAACAACCAACGTCTCCTATAGGTTTCCTATTCTGAAACTTCCGCCACCGCCTTGTGCGGTACTACTGGTATTATTCTTCAATTACAGTATTTGTTGCGCACATACAGATCATGGCAAACATGAAGGTCTTGGGCGTTGCCTATCATGCATCGGAGAGAGACATCGACAAGGCTGGTCTGTCCTGAAATTCTCAGTGAAATCCATTCAGATGTGACCGCTGCACGTTGTACACCGCTGCATGGGGAAGGCATGGGGATGGCTTTTAGACTGTGTTGTGTCCATTCCCCTTTCCCAAAGGATCTTTCTGGATTCAGTTCAAGTTGTTCCGAAAGCACGCAGGCTTTCTGAATCAACATGGCACATTTTGAGACAAGTTATAAAGTTGTCAGCTGGTACATGTATTGACCCCGTGCCTCCTATGTTGACAAAGTGGCTTTGGCAGTCCATGCTGCAAGGGTTGAATGCGTGTCAGGCCACGCGTGCTCGCTCAAGCGAATTTGAGGCGCGATGTTGCTTTGACTGCTTTGTTTTGTCCAACACAGACCGATCCTCGATGCAAAATAGTGAGAGACAAAGCCAGGAATCACTGGCAATGTTAGCGGGGTCAAAGGGGTCAGACCTTGCATTAGTTGGTTTTCGGGGTGATGCAAGGTCTGCCCCTCCGTGTAAAGGCTTCTCTCTGTAAAGGAGTCTGTGTGTAAAGACTCCTGGGCGTAAACGCTTCGAACTGTACAGGCGTCTGCGTGTCAAAGCTCTTGTGTGTAAAAGCGTGTGTGCGTAAAAGCTGCTCCGTGTAAAGGCTTCTCTGCGTGATGGCTTCTGTGTGTCAAAGCTGCCCTGTCTACAGGTTTCTGCGCAAAAGCTTATGTAACTTATGTGTGTAAAAACTTCTGTCTTTAAAAGGGTCTACGTGTAAAAGGTGCTCTGAGTAAAAGCTCCTCTTTGTAAACGCTGCTCTGTGTAAAGGCTTCTCTGTGTAAAAAAGCTTCTGTGCGCAAAAGCTGCGGTGTGTAAAAGCTGCTCTGCGAACAGGCTCCTTTGTGTAAAGGCCTCTCTAAGTAAAGGCTTCTCTGTGCAATGTAACAGCGTTTGTGTGTAAATGCCGCCCTGCATAAAAGCTTCTGTGTGCAAGAGCTTCCGTGTGTAAAGGCGTTTGTGTAAAAGCTTAGGTGTGTAAACATGTCTGTGTAAACGCGTCTATGTGTAAAAGATGCTCTGTGTGAAGGGGCCTGTGCTAAAATGCTTGTGTGCGTGAAGGCGTCTGTGTGTAAAGGCCTTCATTCGTGTGTAAAAGCTTCCGTGCGTAAACGCGTCTATGTGTAAAAGCTGCTTTGTGTAAAGGCTTCTCTGTGTAAAGGTGTTTCTGTGTAAAAGCTGCTCCATCCAAAAGCGCCTGTGTGTGAAAGCCTCTGTGGGTAAAGGCGTCTGCGTGTAAAGGCCTCTGCGTGTAAAAGCTTCTGTGCGCCTGTGTGTAAAAGCATCTGTGGGTCAATCCTGCTCTGTGTGCAAGCTTCTGTGTGTAAAAGCGTCTGTGTGTGAAAGCCGCTCTGTGTAAAGACTTGGCCCACTGACCCACGAGCACAACGGGTCACGGAAACGCTTTCCCCCTGTTTTTTTGGCACCAAGTTGTTCTACCAAGCTGTTGCACAAGAAACCTCTTGTGAAGGACTTGTACGTGGAACCTGTGCCAGGGACATGAAGTAGATAGAGTAGATTAGAGTAGATAATGCGCAGATAAGATTAGATTATATATATATATATAGATTGGATTACGTTCGGTTGGATTAGATAAGATGGATTAGATGGATTAGATAGGTTAGATAGATTAGATCAGATAGATAGGGAGATAGTGTAGATAGTGTAGATAGGGTAGATAGGATATAGATAAGAATGGTATATAACGAACAAAAAGGAACGATAGATCGATACAGTACATAGATAGATCGATACATCGATAGATCGATAGATCCAAAGATCCATAGATCCAAAGATCAACAGGTGGATGGATAGATGGACAGATGGATAGATGATTAGATAGATCGATAGATAGATAGATCAGGTAGATCAGATAGATTATATAGATAGATTCGATAGAGTAGATTAGATAGAGCAGATTTGCGTGATGTATCAGAGCAATTTTGAAAAGATCAGGTTACATTAGATGCGGAGAAGCCTTTTACACAAAACACCTTTTTAGACAGAGCAGCTCTTACATACAGACAATTTTACACATTACACAACGAAGCTTTCACACACAGACACTTTTACACGGAGAAACCTTTACACGCAAAAATTTTGCACTCAGGAACTTTTGCACAGAGCAACGTTTCTACAAAGAAACATCTACGCAGAGCAGTTTTTACACAGAACAGTTTCTACGCACAAACGGTTTACAAAGAACACCTCTACACAGAACAGTTTTTACTCACAGACTTTTTACACACAGCAACTTTTACACAGATCAGTTTTTACACAACAATTTTTTACACATTGCAGTTTTTACACGCAGACGCTCTTACACAGAGCAGTCTTGACACACAAACGCCTTCACACACAGACGTGTTTGCACAGAAAAAAAATACACAGTAAAACCTTTACACAGAGCAGTTTTTACACACATACGTGTTTACACACCAGTGCTTTCACACACAGACGCCTTTACACACAAAAAAATTACACAGAGAAACCTTTACACAGAGCGGATTTTAGACACAGAGGCCTTTACACAGAGCGGTTTTTAGACACAACGGTTATTACACACAAATGCCTTTACGCACAGAAACTTTTACACAGACGTTTTTACACAGAGCAGTTTTTTCACAGACGTTGTCTCTCAGAGAAACATTTGCACGCAGACGTCACACACTCAAAAAACGTTCACACATTACATAGAGCAGCTTTTACACAGCGAAACCTTTGCACAGAGCAACTTTTAACGCTGATGCCTTCACACAGGGCACAGAGTGGACGCTTCGCCATTTTTACGGTGGTTGCAGCGCATTAAAAAAAACATATGCCAACTAATTCCATGCCACACGGTCGCTGTCGAAGTCACAACCTGCGACAACTTGGGATCCCCAAAAAAAGGTTTTATATCCCATTATTATACCTTACTATATCCCAGTATATTCCCATTGTACCAGGATACCCATTGCCAGTTCGGATTTTAAAACATATCTATTTTGAATATATTTTTGGTAATTTTGGCAACATCCATGAATATCCGTCAACCTTCCATTTCTGAACATTCTGAAACATTTGGGATGCCAACATTCCCCAGGATCCCTATTACAAAAAACCTGTTGCTCACGGTAAAATCCAGTGATTATTCCATTATTATCCCTCACAATCCATATGGGTTTGTCAGAGAATGGGGGATATTTTGAACTAAATCAACCATTATGAACTTATGATAAATTCCAGTGATTATTCAGTGATTCTTCACACTCCATCAAGGTTAATCCCACGGTTCGCTTTCCTGTGACCCGCCGAGGTCTGAAGTGCGCGCCCTCCGAGGGACACAGCAGGGAGTTGTGCAGCTCTTTGTGTCGGCCCTCTGATGAGGTGGAGTGGAGGGCGGCGTAGCCGGAAGGGGTAGGGCCAGTTCACGAGATCATTTCAGTATTTGGAAGTATAGAGACGTATAGAGTATCTAGTATAGAGTAAACTGTAACTATACTCTAGTTTCTTTTTAGATTGAGATACACCATGAAAATTGCCACTGGAACATCCAAACCTTGATTTTTTTGAAGTTCGAAGAGTAAGAGGCAGGAGTTTTTGGTTCAGAGAGCTTCCTTTTTCCCAACGTCAAGAGTTTTTGATGCTGGTATGGCACATGTGTCTATTGATGGCCGGAATCGCCGCCTGGTAAGTGGTTTCATTTCCTGTATATCGTATAACTGTGACGCTCTCAAGTGACTTTCAAATGCTGATTTTTCAAGTCATCTACAAGAATTTGGACAGGTCATCAGCTACACGAGTCACATGAGAGTCACTACGCATTCAGTTCACGTTGTGAATTTCAGTGGAAGCCATCATGTGGGGCCACGAATCTAGTAGATTTACGGGCAAGGTATCTTCGTTTAGTAGGTGAATGACCTCACGTTTTGCCATGGAGGGAGATTTCAAGACCAAACATGTGATGTTTGCCATCTGCCAGACCCATGACAAAGGCAGTTGGTTTCCTCGCCAAAGATCGATTGTTGGACTACAGCCGCTTCTGCTTCTATGCGCCTTGGATGATTGGTGCTGGTGATTTCAAACGTTTTCAAAGCAAATGTTTTCAGCATTATTTTAGCAACATGATCTAAACATTATATCCAAACATGATTGACATTTTTCATACGGGGGCACTAAAGTTGCAATCTTAATTGTGAAACTTTTGATAAACCAGAATATGAATGATCCAATAGTTTTTTTTTGGGCACCCTATCTTTTAATCTAACCCATCTGAGGATTTCCCGGAGCCAAAAAAATCCTCTGCTTGGCCTTTAAACCGAGGATTGCAAGCCTCCGCAGGGGCATCTGAGTGCCCTGGCTTCGCAGTGTCTTTCCTTGAAGGACTCGGAATTGCAACAGGCAGGATGGGTGGGATTTCATGGGATTTGACATTGATTTCATGGGATTTATATAATATTGATTTCATGGGATTTGACATTGATGATTCATGGCGGATGGGGCAATGGCTACAGTACTGGGTCATGGTTTGATTTGCTTTGTTTTGGGGCCGGAGAGTACAAGGGCATTGTCTTTCAGACGCGGTTTCTGAACGATTTGAGAACCCCCAGCATCGGCAATTTCTGGTCGATTCTAGTTGAGGCATACCATTTTGTAGACACACACGCACACACAGGAAAGAGTTGAATCTTGAAACAGCCATGTACTGCAACATGTTCCCTGTACTTTAGACACTAACTGGTTAGTGGTTTCAGATCTGTACTGCTTTACCATCTATTCATATCTATTCCATTCCATTCCTAAGATGACTAATTCACCCCAATTGACTCTGATATCCCATCTTGAAGGTGGGTATCGCCAACCAATGGATCATGCTGGGTTTTTGACGACAAACAGCCGGACTACTTGGATGTGCATCCTACTTAGCAAGTGGGTCATAAAGCATGGCTTGAACCGAGAACCAGTTTTGTGTACCCCCCAGTTCAATATGGATCAATAGCTGTAGTTCCGATTCTTCGGGGGATGAACATCCATACATCTCAAGTATTTTGATGTGAAGCCCAGATTTGCCAGGGTTTTGACCCATTCCCAGTCAAATTTCGGAGATACAATAAACCATAATAAACCATGTTACCCTGCTGCAATCAGACGTGGCAAAGGATTTTTTCCCATTTATGGATGATTTTCTCATGAAAAAATCTCCATTTAGTTCAGGCATTTCCCAGCTAGCTATGTTTGATGACACCGGAGGCTAAATCCAATCTCTACACCACTCCAGGATATAGTTTATGGATCATTGGATCATTAGATTATTGGATATAATCCAATATAGAATGGATAAAACTATAAATATGAGATTACAACAGCTTCTCAAAACCTACCATTCCCATTGTCCCACGTGGGTTCCCTAACGGCCTCCGTAGGCGCTGGATGCCGACGGAAATGCCATGGACCCCGCATTCCTCTACGAAGCGCCCGCGGCGATCAAGTTCCCTGTGGCGCTGGCCAAGGACGGAAGTAACGGAGCGAGATGCGGGCGGTGCCCACAGTTGACCTTTGGTGGGTGGTTTTACAAGGTTTTACAGTATGTTTAACAACCATCGCCATGAGAAGCATCATAAAACAATGATGTTCACATCACTATAGAAATTGTGAAAAAATAACCACAAATGGGGGTGTAAGTAGCACACACCTGCGATTCAATCATTCAACACTTGAATTATCTCGAATTTAACCACAGAAACACACACCTTAGTCAGAAAAAAATGGAATTGAAGTAGCAGCGTGGGATTTTGTGGGAATTTGTTTATCAAACATGGACAATCAGGACTTTCGATTTGTGCTACCATGCTCTCATGCAGTGTTGCCATGTTCCATCCAGAACTGCTCCAAGTGTAAATATTCACATCACCTGGCAGTGTTTGATGGTGGAGACTTTTTTTGTTTCCCGCATTTTTTGCTGCAGCCAACACTTTATGATTCCAGGATCCAGCAAAGGCAAAGGCAGTAGCGAAGAAGGCTCATAAAGCCTTCAAAAAGTTGGAGAATGGCACCGAGGATGGGCTCCGGTGACCAGAAGAATCACTGGCACCCAATACCTGGGCGATACAATCCCAAAGCATACCCCAATTACTACCTGCCGTGTGTCTCCAAATTAGTGTTCCTGGATTTTCCTATCATCGGTGGTTCGACTCGCAGACTTCTTTTTGGGGAAATGTACAAGTGATGAAAAAATGCCAGCCATTCTGTATTTGGAAAAGATGCAAAGTTGCACTGTAGGGTTGCTTGGCGGGAGAAGCAAAATATGGCGGGTCAAAGCTGGGTACCACTGAAAATGGATGATTGCCATAGGACACGCGTGATCAAACTTGACCAATCATTCTGTGGGTCGGAACAGACAAAAGATGTCTTATTTTTTGAGCCACGCCGAAGATACCATGTAGATTGCATCAGTTGTAGATGATTCTTGCGATGGATTGAAACCAAGCAGTTTGAAAACAGCCTGTTACCCATGGCCCCTGTATTTTGACGTGGCCGGTCCAATCATAAGGCTGGAATCTTCTTCCATTTTGCTGCTCCAGCAATGGAGTACTCGAAATTGCCGCCTGACAAAATGATGGATTCAAACATGATCTGGCCATGTCCAATGAACAAAGATGACAACCGTTGCCCTGGACTCTGGAATTTATGTGGTAAACTTTATCCACAGACATCCTGATAAAGAAACATCTACTGTATGAAATTCTCACAGAATCTCATCTATAGTTCATCAACTAATCTTTTTGAAATCCAAATTTTTGGGTTTCCAAACATGGAACATCCAATATATATATATTGCGCGTTTTCAGAAAGGCCTGTGTCAGCCACACACAAAACCTAGCAACAAACAACTTTAAAAATCAACAATGTTCTTTTGAATCAACTTTCTTCTTTTGAAACTTCTTTTAATAGTACCCGAAAGTTTAACAACAACTTTTGAAAACAACTTTTTGTTTAAAAACAACTTTTGGAAAGTTTCTGAAAACAACTTTTTGTTTAAAAACAACTTTTGGAAAGTTTCTGAAAACAACTTTTTGTTTAAAAACAACTTTAAGAAAATTGTTAAAACATTTACTTTTATTTCAAAACAACTTGTAGAAAGTTGTTAAAAACTATTTTTTGGTTAAAACACTTTTCTAAATTTGTTCATTTTTCGCATCCGAAACAATGACAAAACACAAATCACAATGTATTTCTGAACAAACGTTCAAGTTCATATGAAGCAGCCCTTCAAAACAAGCTTGTAACATGCACACCAAAAACAAACAACACATTGCAACATGCTGTAATAAAATATGTTTCACAAAAATGTTTGGACCATGATTAATCGCAGTAAGTACACTGTTGGCATGTGCAGCGGAGCGGGTACATGGACTGGCCAGCTTGTAGCATGGCAGAATCTCTCTTTGCTGGGCGTTCTTCACTGCAGGGCTCAAGTTTCAACTTAGTTTTGGTTTTTGCATGGCAGCCTTGGGGCTGGATCAAGTCTTGAATTTGGCCCAGCAGTATGGCGCCAGAGATGCGTTGGAGCCAAGAGCACCAGCCGTAGCAGTCGCCAGGGGGGGGGGTCGCAGACCAGGTGGTGGAGGCCTGGGGCGGCACAACCGAGCCCGAGGTGCGGAGGCTAGACAAAGAGGGGCTCGCTGGGCAAGGAAGCAGAAACAACTTGTTTTGCAGAGCAAAAGCTTCAACAAGACCGGCCATGCCCGAACAGCAGATCATCGGCTACCAAGCCAACAAGACTTGAGTCGGCAGAGTGTGGCAGGCAAAGGGAAATGGAAGACTTGGACTCCAGAAGCGATCTTGCGCGCAGGCTTTGGGCAGGAAACTGCAACTTATAGGCAGATAGCAAACGAAGTGGAGGGTGCTTCCTCCAGCCAGTCAAGGGCCGCTAGATTTGCGTGCGCTGCCGCAGTGTGCAAGTCTCAGGCAGAGAGCTGTGAGAAAGTGTTTGCAGAGGCTTCAGAGGAACCCCTCAGATTCTTCATTCAAAATTTGATGTTTGACGAGTCAACCTTTGACCTGAGAGTCGGCAAGGATGCCGCCAACAGTTGCCCTGTTCTGTGCTCGCACTCTCAATGGACAATGGGCTTTGCCCCCTCTTTGGAAAGCGCCAGGGACGCCGTCCGGGATGAGCACATCGTGCGGTCTCCGCAAGTCTTGGCCCCGATGAATTCTGCAACTATGTGGAAGACTTTATCCTGTCATCCAGGGAGTATTGGAGCTTGCGAAGTGGCCGCTGACCATGTGTGCACCCTTACCACATGCGATTCTTATGCGGCGAACTTAAAAATGTTGAAGCATTTGGACACAGTCCTCCCATCAGACCACTACTTCCTTCCAATGTTGTGCACTCAGCACCGGAACGGAAACGTTCTGGAGCAGTTGACTCATTTGCTTGGAAATCTGGGCCGCTGTTTTTGCGTTTCCCGAGTTTTGAATTCGAGGCACGCAGTGCAAGCGCTCCGCAAGAGAACGGCCGCAGGCCTGGAACAGCATCTGGCGGTGCTCCAGGCTGAGCCTGCAGGTGTTCAAACTGAATGGGAGGAAGCGCGGTCGCTGACCAGGAGTTTCCTGAAGCTCGAAGCCAGTTCGAAAGAGGCGAAGGAGTCCGAGGTGGAGATTGCAGAGCCTGCTGCTGATGAACTTCCACCTGGTTATTCTCGCCTCTTGGGCTTCTTCAATGGCCCTTGGACAGGACCAGGGTGGGGGGTTGTCAGCGCTGTTGGTTTCTGTCAGTTTGCGCAGCTTGGGTCGGTGTGCGCCTGTTGTTGTCGTTGTCGTTGTTGTTGTCGTTGTCGCCTGGACCAACCTGACAGATTTGTTGAACATCCTACAAGACCCTGCCAAGCGTTTGTCACTGTTGGTTTGGAGGTTTGGGCCGCTGGCCGGGTGGCCACAAGCAAGGAGAAGAATTGTGAGAAAGAGCATCATGGTCATGGCAGGCCAACTTGCGAGAAAATTGATTTTGCCATGGCAGCAGTATCCTTGGTGTTTATGGCCGCTGGCCTTGAAAGACGCAAGCCAAGAAGACCGCAGGTCATGTGCTAAAGCTTTACTCAGCAGTAAGCCTTGCTGTCTGGACAGCGGTTTTTCACAGCGGCTCAAGCGCATACACCGCACAGAAGAAGAACTCTTGAACTCGCAGCTCCAAGTCTTTTTGCAAAAAGTTTTCGAACGTGTTGTGCCAACATCAACTTTCATTGAGCGGCGGTTCGCCCAGTTTGCCCATTGGAGCGACCAGCAGCCCAAGCTTGGCACTTTGGCAGCCAAGCACGTGACTAGTTTCTGCAAGGGCGCTGCCCAGGCTTGGAAGCAAAACCACCCGCAGCACCAGAAGCGAAAGCATTTGTCTCGTCCTGGCTGGGTAGAACAAAAGCAAGGAAGCCGAACCACAGGATACAATGTATTTCTGTCTGAGTTCAGGAAGAACGATTCAGCGCAGCAAGTGGCCGGAGATGAAGGGAGGCAAACCTTTGTTCAAGAGGCTACAGCTGCTTGGAGAAGACTTTCTCCCGGAGAGAAAGCGCCTTACAGTTTCAAGGCGCGTGGGCTGAACAGTCTGCGCAGCAGAAGCTCCCAGATGTCAGACAACGAGGCTGGCCCTGAAGGCCGAGAGACTGGCGGCTTGTGGAACACATGCCTGCTGCAAGATAGATGGCCGCTCCGAGTTGATCTTTTGGAAGCTGCCATGGGGGAAGGGATTGCGGCTTTACGAAAGATCTCATCGGCTTGGGAAGAGGCCAGGTCAACAGAGCCATCATCCACCATCAATTTTTCTATATTCAATCATCATCAATCATCACTACCGCAACATCAGAAAGACAGGCCATAGTCATAGTCATAGTCATACTACTGTCTGTTTGCTTTTCCACTCCAACCCAGATATTTTTGGCTGGCATTGTTCATTTGGAGGAGCATGCAATGCTGGTGGAGGCGGAAGATGATCTGCCAGATGTGAGTGATAACTTGTTTGCTGTGTGCCCGCATGGTGGATGTGATGAGGAGCTGCAGGCAGCGCAGCGTCCAGTCTTTCGGGAAATCCACGATGACTTGGTCACTGCTGTCCGGGTGATTGAGCCTTTGAAGCGGGACTTGTCTGCTCACCCTTTGGTTTTGGAATGGCACTCATTGTCATTGCAGAAGAGAAGGTTTGTTGTGGTCGCTTTTCACATCCGCAAGCCTCCTTGGGACATGGTCCTTGTTGAGCTGGAGGAAGCCGGGGACTCTGAAGAGCTTCCTTTTTGCTTGGCAGTGCAGCTGGGCAGGCAATCCATTCATTCTGACATTGCATTTTGCCATGAGCTTGCCCGAGCCGCGTCTGACTGGGTCTTGTTTCGCTTGTCCATTGGAGATCTGACCGTGGACTATGGCATTTTCCAAGCCGCAGAGCGCAAGGAACTGAGCCGATCCGAGTTGAGACAAGCTGCTGCTGAAATGAAGCAAGTTATGCTCGCAGCAAAAGCAGCCAAGCTTGCCCAAGGTTTGACCGCAAATAAAAAAAGGAAAAGCAGAAACTCCAACAAACGAAAAAGCAAAGGCAAGCGGTCGCAGACCCTGGCTCCAGATGTTTCGGACATGGAGTGGAATGCTGCCTCTGAAAGCGGGGGCTCCGCTTCTGACTTTGGGGCAGACACCGGCAGTGTTGCAGCGCCTGCTTCTTCGTCCGCTGGACCGGCTCGCAGGGGCTCAGCTTCAGACTTTGCGGCAGACACCAGCAGTGTTGCAGCGCCTGCTTCTTCGTCCGCTGGACCGGCTCGTTCTAAGCGTGTCAAGCAGTCTCGGTCCATTCCCTGGGGTCCATTCCAAATCGCGCCGATTGTTCCGGCCGCTGGCCACAGTGGTTGGGGAGCCATCTGCGGACAGCATTGCGACCGAGGAAACAGTGTCTTGCAAGAAAGCTATGAACCGTGGGTCGCTGACCGATGCGGAATGCGTCTTGCGTTTGAAGAGGTGGCTCTTGGCAGGCCATTCAGACCAGAACTGGCCAGTTCACAGGCGACGGTCGCACCATGTAGAGCTGGGTGGCGAAGGTCTGCAAGATTTCGCACAGGGAATGTCTGAGGAAGCTATGGATGCTTTGGTCGCTTCCTGGGCTTGAAGTTCTTTGAGTCATTTGACCGCGCACTTTCGTTCACCGTTCAAGTTTTCGCAGCCAATGCTTGTCACAATTTGTTTCCAGAGACATTTTACTATTTTTACAGATGCTTAACGTATGTGTATGTTTGTCTATTTATGGAAACAAATGAAACAAAAATGCAATTATATCAAAAAATGTTAAGAACATTTCAAAAGAAGTTTCAATTTCACCGAGAAAGTTTCTGAAAAAAGTTTCGTAGAGAAATCGTAGAGATTTCCTTTTGTGTTTATATTGAGAGCGTAGAGAAATCAAGTTGTTTCGTAGAGAAAATTCGGTGGAAACTTCTTTTGGAAATTGGCAACTTCTTTTTGAAACTTTTCATCATATATCATATATTCTTTTAATTTTGCGGTAGTTACCAATAGATGCTTCCATGCAAACAAGCCATGCTCTCAGGTGATCGCCAAAAGCGCAAAACAACCAGGAGCTGGAGCGCAAAGCAGAGCCGGACGCTGGTTCCTGTGAAAAAGTGCGCTGGCTGCAGGGTTTTGAACCTTGGACTGCCTGCTTGGTGTCAGCGCTGGCGGTGTTTTGCTCTGCTGTGGCCCGAGTTTGTTGTCCTGAAAAGGGTTGTCGAGGGTAAGTGCTGTCAGGCAGCTTGTTTTCCAGCAGGGCTTTTGGTTCAAACCTGAGCAGTTGTTCTTTACTGCGCGTCGCCGTCATGGAGGATGACCTAGTCTCCCAAGCAGCTTCCAGTGTTGGGCCCGTGGTGCTGGCTACTTTGGCAGTGTGTTTTACCCTGAGTAAGGCTTGTGTGTGCTGCCTTTGCAATGCCAAAAGCACTGACCCTTCTCCCTTGGTGGGAGGAGAGGAAGATGACCAGTATGGAGGCCGCCGGCCCTGGAACAAGTACCGTAAAGTGCGCCACCCTGGGTCGGACGAGCAGGTCAAAGTCCCAGAAGGGAAACTGTGCATGATTTGCTTCAGCACCTTCAGAGCGCTGGGTCTGAACTACAAGTATCCATCGTATGGTGCGTACTACAAAGAGATCGTCAATGACAACAGCAAGCATACCAGCTTCATAAACTCTATGAAAGAATGGATTAAGCAAAGAAATGAGGATCCCACTGGGCGAATGGACAGGGAAGCAGTGAAGAAGGCCCACACCACTCTGCACAGTGAGACCAAGACTGGTGTCAAACTCAAGGGTCCCAAGAGGGAGTTCGTACTCCTGGAACATTGGGACCCCAAGCTGGACGGTGAGCTGGACGAAGCACACATAGTGGAAGAAACTTGGCAAGGGAAGAAGGTGAAAGGAATCTGGAAGGCCAAAGGGCGTGCCGGTGTGCTGGAAGCTTCCCAGTATGAAGACACCAGTTTGGCTGAGCGCACTGAGGAGCACAGTGGATCCGGCCCGTTCGCTCAGCAAGCTTTAGTGACCAAAAAAACTGCGTTGCAGAAGGTGTTTGCGGATGCCGACGAAGAGAGGCAAAAGCACACAGTGGCCGCAGGCCCTGCATCACAGGCAGGCGATGTTCTGGCAACTTTGCAGAAAATGCTGCCAAACTTGAAACTTGCTGGTGGTGGGCAGGCCCTGAGCGCAGACCCAGAAGCAGATGAGGCTAGCCCTTCTGCACTTGTTGACTTGCACAAGGACGAGGACGAACATGAAGCAGGAGAAGAGGAGGAGGTTTGCAGCTCGTTGGCGCACTTCGGCCATGCCGGGCGAGCGGCGCGTGCTGCGAGCGCGGCCCAGCTTGGACGCTGACGGAGTGAAAGAGTGCGAGCAGGAAGCCAAGACAAGGTGCATTCCTGCAGATGCATTGGTGGATGGCTCTTGGCTATGGAACGTGTGCAGAGAGAACCTAGACCTTTGCAGGAGAATGGCCCCTCACAGGCCGTGTTGGGGAAGTGCAACTCTGACCTGGGGATCTTTGTGCTCTGGATCAGAAGGCCCAGCCTGGGTCATTGCTGCCTTGAACCAACTCTTTGAGCAGGAGGGGGCTGTTGACTTCAAACTTGAGCACGTGTTCTCTTGCGAGTTGTCAGCAGAGAAACGGAAATGGATCCACGCTTCCTCCATGCTCGCTGAGCCTGCTTGTGCAAGACTGGCTGCAAGGGTGAGTGGCCATGATGACGATGAACTGCCCGCGGTTGATTGGGAAGAAGTGCTTCGGGCCGCAGATGCCCCGTGCATTTTTTGCAATATCACCGACATGGGCGCTGCCCAGGCAGAGTGCTGGGAGCACGGTCCTGGAAAGTGCCATGTGAGAAGCGTGGACCTACTGGTCGTTGGCACCAGTTGCAAAGACATGTCTCGAGCCAATCCCGGTAGTGTCAGACAAGAGGTGGTGCTCAACGCGACAGAGTCTCGAGGCGGCAGCGCCCAAACTTTCAAAGGGCTGCTGTCGTACTTGGAAAGACACCGGCCTTTGATGATTCTTTTCGAGAACGTCGACGCGATGGAAGATGTGAATCTCAAATCTTAAATCTTAAATAGACTTTAGTACTTTAAAACGTTGTGTGTTTGTGTGTACGTACGTCCTTTCTTCGTTTTGCTGCATGGCAGAGCCCAGTGGAGTTAGTAGTAAGCAACCATGTCAGTGGCTGAGGCTAAGGCTCGCTATTGGCCATTGTCCATTTTTTTGGGGCGACAGCTTGTAGTAGTGGGGAATCGGACATGCGATCTCTGCTATATCATAGAGAATCATACACGCTGTGTACAAGCGGACGTTGTAGAATAAATATAATAAGTATAGAAGCAGGCCCATGTCATTTTCAACTGCGATCATATTGGGTCTCCAGCAGTCAGGAAGGCCGCTGGCCAGTCCAACATGGACGTGTTCTGGAGCCAGATGGCTGCCCACGGGTACGAGGGCCAGTCTGTCTTGACAGACAGCAGCGAGTTTGGTCTACCTGCCCGCCGCCGGCGGCTGTACGTCTTCCTGGTGCGAGTGCAAGGGAATCCTTTGCTGTCGTTTCAGGACCGCAACGTTGATTCTATTTTCACTACTTTGGTGGGCTGCTGTCTGGATGTTTGCGGCATGGACCTTGTGCAAGCATGTGCAAGCGACATTTTGCTCGAAGATCACCACCCAGCAGTTCTGGAAGAGTTGCAGCTTCGAACCTGGCGCAGGGAAGAGCAAAATCGAAGCGAGAAGCCCGCCCCAACAGGGGATTGGCCAGATCAGCATATGAAGCTGGCGCAAGCTTTGTGCTTGAGATGGGGCCAGGGGGCGCCGCCCGAGCTTGGTTTCAAACGTTGACGGCCAGAGGGCAGGATGCGCTTCCACTCCTGCAAGCCCAGATGCCTGCAGAAAAGAGCGTGATGCGAGATTTGTCTCAGAGCATTTTCCGAGCAAATGCCAACACTTGGAAAACTGATGCCCAGAAGCATTTGGCACCCACCATGCTTCCCAAGATGAATGTGTGGATTGAGCCCGTGGGGCATAATGTGAAGAAAGCTCGAATGTTGCTTGGCCGCGAGGCCCTGCTGTATCAAGGCTTTCCGGTTCTGTTGTTCTTGGAGACATTGCAAAAGATGCAGCAGGACATTGAGGCCGCTGGCCGGGCCAAGCCGATTATTGGCGATGAGCTTCTGAGGAATACTGGCGGCAATAAGAGGCCAAAATGGAGCAGTGACAAGCCAGAGCCTCGGGGCAGAGACCTGTTGGTTAGCTGGAAGCCGACCGAAGCGTTGCTGCAAGATTTGGCTGGCAATGCCATGGCTCTGCCAGTGGTGATGACGATGCTGCAGTGTGCTTTTGCGTCTGTCAGTTGGCGCCCCAAGGACCTTGTCGGAACCGCGGCCGCAGCGCCAGTCCCGACCCAAGAGGCCTGGGAAGGGGCCCGGTTTATAAATTCCTGGGAGGTCTGTTATGTTGTCAAAGGCTTGAATATTTCCACGTGGCATTGCCAGAGAAGCATGTCAATTTCTTATTTATTCTATTTACGCCTTTGATGACAGAAAGTTAACATCAGAATCATGAATCATCAATCACATCATATCATCATATCATGCCATTATTTTTTCTTTGCGCAGATACGAATTGAATAGCGCGGGTTTGCCTCTGGCTCGGGGCTGCCTACACACGCAGGATGTTGCCGCTGCGCTGGCCGCAGTCCAGGGCCTCCACTCAGAAGATTCGGTCGCCGACCAGGTGTCAAAACCCGCTGCCGTGAGTGCTGGAGTAGCAGTCTTGAAGCGCAAACTCAGAGAGCGCAAGTCGCAATGACCAGCTTGGACAGGGCAAAAAAAAACTTTAGTTTCACGCTTGGGCCCTGGAGGGGGAAGGGTGTCTTATTTTCACACTACTGGGAACGGTTGCATGGTGAGGGCGTTGATTTCACTTGATGTTAGCCAGGAATGAGTAAATCGATTTGAACACGAATTGACGATGTGGTGGCAGATGTTGCTTTGTTGTCCGATTGCAGTGCATTCAAACACAAGTTTGTAGGAAATTCTTTCGAGTAAATAATTTGATGAAACAAGTTTTCAGAAACTTCTTTTATGTAAACGATTTATTGAAAGAAGTTTTCAGAAACTTCTTTTAAATCAATTATTTGCTGAAAGAAGTTTTCAGAAACTTCTTTTTAACTACTTTTAATGATAAAACAAGTTGAAAGAAGTTTCTGAAAACTTCTTTTTAACTACTTTTAATGATAAAACAAGTTGAAAGAAGTTTCCGAAAACAACTTTACAAAGAAGTTGCAATTTCGCAAAAGAAGTTGGATTGTTTCAAAAGAAGTTGCTAAAAGAAGTTGTAAATTTTGAAGCTCCGTAAACACTACTTTTGGGGTACAGGCCACAGGCCTTCTGAAAACACCCAATATATATATTATATAATATATATATATGTTTGGTGATCTTCCGTGAATTTCTCTCAGTTTCCATTTGAAAACCGAGGGGCCCATGGCACCCCCATGGCACATGGGACGGGTGACCTCTCTGCAGGACGTGGAAGAGCTATGGGACTCGGACGTGGCCACGGAGATTCCAGCCACGTGGCCACGGGCGGAGTGGTGAAAGATTTCAATGGAACCATGAGCTGGTGGTTTATGGTAGATTTACCCTCTGGTTATTTAACATTGCCATGGTATAGATGGCCCATAGAAATAGATGATTTACCCAGCTATAAACCTCCATTTATAAGGGATTTTCCATGGCTATGTTAAATAACCAGATGGTAACGAACTAGTTTTCATGGGGTTTATTATGGTTTATAATACATCATATGGATGAATAAAATCTGGTTGGTGGTGACTGGAACCATGGATTTTTTTTTATGACTTCCCATTCAGTTGGGAAGAATTATCCCAATTGACGAACTCATATTTTGGGTAGGTATACCACCAACCAGTGATGGGGTCTCAAAATGGGTGGGGGGTTGTACAATCTGAGGGAATATTAGATGGATGTATTGATGTATTGTATGGAGGTATACTATAATACATTTGGTGGTGCATGGGGCAGCTTTGAATTTTGTGTCCGCGGGCTTCAAACGACCTGAACATGGTGGAGGCCACTCTAGAATTGCCGACATGGCTTTCACAAACCAACAGACCTTGCCAGCAAAGAGCTGACTAATCAACTAGAGTCCCAGACTTGCCGGACATTTGACGGTGCTATTTTTGGCTTATTTTTTAATCCCATGTTATCCCAACTTTTGTATACATTTGTTGCTTGAATTTCCACTGCTCGCCAGATAACCATCCAAGTCGTGTTTGTTCAGCTTCCAGTTTCGCCGCTGAAACTTTGACACTTCGCCTTCCCCAATTTTGCAAGACCTGCCATTTACAGTATGCACCTAACCCCCCCACTTTGATCCAACTTTGGCAAGTGGATAGGTTGAACTAAAGTCAACATGGTCAACCCCTTTTCAGACAGTTAAAACAGAGATGTAGAAATGGGGATGGGTTCCAGATGTTACAGCCCCTCTTGGTCGATGATTCTACGGGATTATGTATATATATATACCCTCTGGTAATTTAACATAGCTATGGAACATCACCATCTTTAAAAGGTAAATCTACGAACTAAATGGTCCATTTTCCATTGCTATGTTAAATTACCAGAGGGTATATATACTAATCAATATATTGGGGATGCTCACAATCCAGGGGAATCCCTCAACCAGTATTAAAACGACCACGCATGTTTTTGAACACTGCTCAGATGTAGAAATGGGGATGGGTTAAAACCATGATGCAATGTCCTATGTTTATCCCATTCTTATCCCTATAATTCATAGAAAACCATCTTAAACTACCATCAAACCTCCATTGTTTGATACATACATATATATATATATATTATATCCTTATCATAATCTCTTCTCCCTATTACTAAAACCACCCGAATTAATGAAAATAGGAGTGGACTGCCACTTCCGGATTTTTTTGGTTGCTCACAATTGCGTTCTTAATTGTGGTAATTGAAAATGAATAGGAGAACAGGATGGTGAAATGATGGTTTGTACCCCCTATTAATAAAAATAGAACGAGACCCGTAAGTTTATTATTAGGGTCCCATCAACTTTGAAATCATGTTGTTTATTTCTTTTTATAAAGGTTTTAATTTGATTAATTATTAGGGGGAAGCTTCGAAATCCAATCTTTGGCAATATTTTAAACGGATTTTAAGAAGGGATTTAATTGATTTTGAAATTAATTGTTTTTTTTTAATAAGGTTTTTGTTTTATTATTAGGGGAAAGCTTCGAAATCCAATTTTTGGTAATAGTTTAAAAGGATTTTAAAAAGGAATTTAATCGTTTTTTATTTTTTAATTAAGGTTTTTGTTTTATTATGAGGGGAAAGCTTCGAAATCCAATTTTGGCAATATTTGAAAATAATTTTAAAAAGAGGTTTAATTGATTTTGAAATCGACATTTTTATTTTTTGAATTAAGGTTTTGTTTTATTATTAGGGGCACCCAAATACTAAATACCTCCTCATAATAAAAATAGATCATCGTGTTTAGCATTTGGGGGGGTGTTTTAGTATTAGGGAGCAGAGATTATATCCCTAGAATATTCGTATGATTTACTGGTTGGTGGTTTGGAACATCTTTTATTTTCCATAATATATGGGATGTCATCCTTCCCATTGACTCATGTTTTTCAAGATGGTTATTGCACCACCAAGCAGTTTATGATATCCCTGATATATGTACCCTCTGGTAATGACTAACATAGCTATTTTTTCAATGGCGATTTATATTGAGTTTTCCCATTAGAAATGGGGATTTTCCATAGTTTTTTGTAGGTTTACCAGAGGGTATCCCCTATGATATCCCACCCGTTACATCTCCTGAAACACGGCCGGCACCAAGGACGCCACCCAGGACCCCTTGGTGGCCGCCTCCGGCGCACGTCGCGCGGCGCAGCGCGCGGAGGATGCGGCGGTGCGGGCCAAGAGGGCGGCGGAGAGGAGCATTGAGGCTGGAACGGGGTGGAGGTGAATGGGGATAGCCAGAATATGTATGTATATATATATATATTATATGTATATTTATTTATTTTATTTATTTATTCATTTATTTATTTATTTGTTAATCATTAGTTAGGAATGGTTAGTAATACTAACCATCAATAACAATGATTAGTAAGTGATGAAAAATGGTTAATTACAGCAATACCAAAATTATGAACTAATCATTACCAATCTTTACTAACTAATCATTCTTGTTAACCATTGATGATGAATAATGCTGGGTGATGTGGAAGGCTGGGACAGGGGCAGGGGAAATGCCATTACTAACCATCATTGGTAGTTACTGTAATATTACCCACAGACGCCGTGCGTTGCCCAGACATTAACATTGCGAATGTCGTGCTGTCGAATATATGATAGGAGAGATTGCAGAAAATACTGCGTATGCGCAGTGTTTTCCAGTTTAGGATTCAAAGTTTTCAGAGCCTAGGTTTTAGGGTTTAGGGATTTAGGGTTTGGGGTTTTAGGGTTTGGGGTTTTAGGATTTAGGATGGTTTAGGGTTTTAGGGTTTAGGGTTCGTTGTCTGGGAAATCTCAAAACACTGGCCCTGCGCAGGTGTTTGAGAATGTTGAAGGACAATGTTTAACCATGTTCGCCCCAACCCGGACGTTGCTCCACACTTACGATCGTCATGATCATGATCATGATCATGATCATCATCATCATCATCGTCATCATCATCATCATCGTCATCATCATCGTCATCATCATCATCATCATCATCATCATCACATGATCATCATCACATTAAAATTCACCACCCCCTCTGAACAATATGTTGACTGGGGTAATAACATCAACTTTATCTTCATGAGGCGTCAAAATTCGCCACCCCTCTGAATATGTTGATTGGGGTAACAACATCAACTATATCTCCATGAGGGGTCAAAATTCGCCACCGAACAATATGTTGGTTGGGGTAATAACATCAACTTTATCTTCACGAGGGATCAAAATTCGCCACCCCCTGTGAACAATATGTTGATTGGGGTAAAAACATCAACTTTATCTTCATAAGGGATCAAAATTCGCCACCCCCTATGAACAATATGTTGCTTGGGGTAATAACATCAACTTTTTCTTCATAAGGGATCAAACCCCCTATGAACATTATTTTGATTGGGGTAATAACATCAACTTTATCTTCATAGCCACCGAAGTCAGACGCGGCGCAACGTCAGGGTTGCAGCGAACATGTTTAAACGCCATTTGAACCTTCCGGGCAACACCTAGCGCCTGGCCGTAATATTATTATAATTGATCATTATTATTAAGCCACAATTATATAATGGTATCATGGTCATTGATAGTAACGTTTAGTGATTATTAGTAATTATTAGTTTATGATGCTTAATCACGGTTAATGATTACGATTATGAACCATTATGAACCATCAGTATCAACTAGTCATTATCATTATAATATCATTATTCATTGATAATTGATGGTTAAGGCTGGAACGGGGGAAGGAGAAAGGCTGGGCAACGATGGTAATTAAAAAATCGTTAGTAATATAATGAATAGTATGATGAACGCTTAGAATTACTAGTCATCATTGATGTTTAATATCACTAGCCACCCATTACTGACTATAGTTATATAATCATCATTATTGATCATTGATGGTTCATAATGATGGGCAATGCAGATATAAGGTAGGTATAAGGTTGATATTCTTAACAAATCAATCATGGTCGATACTGATTGTTAAATGTGGAGTCATGAGTTTTAATGAGAAACATCCAATTCAATACCCATGCAGTGGCTGTATATGAGCCCATATAGTAAATTTCTTTTGGTTCTATGCCTTTTTGAATGATTTATACTGAATTTTTATCAGGTCTAAAGTTCCATTCATTTCAACGTGGCAAGCCCAAAACCAATAACCATCCCCCGTTTGATCAGATACGGGTGTTTTAAATCATCCTCCAATTGGAGGGTTATGGCATGGCGTTTGCCACACTACTGATTCTATCCAGTGACAACAATGCCATCGTAGTAAGCCCGCTAGTTAGATAGAATATAACTACGTAGTAATTATATACTAATGTGTAATCTTCATGAATCTATAGTCATTGTGGCCTGGCTAGAACCTGGAGTAGTCAAATATCTTGCATTTTCGTGAGGATTTTTGGACAGTTCCATATTCTATTTACTCCAGGATGACTATATATATATATCTCTAGGATAGTTTCCGGTAATCAAACATAGCAATGGGAAATCCCTCTACATGGAGAAAATCAACTATCAATGGTGGGATTTCATGGATTTTTTACAAAGACAACATGATCTGTCTGGAATGTAATGCAAAAAACATACAAATACATATATAATATACGTATATACATAATATATTATGTATACACATATGATATCTACATTGTGTATTGTTCCCCTGGTTTCTGTAGCCATCCCAATCCATCCCATGTGCCCGTCGTCAAGGCCTTGAAGACGGGCCGCAACGACACCTGGATGGCGGCCATGTGGAAAGCCAATGAGGCAAGGGGGACACGTATGTGGTTTGATACCGGGCAAAAATCATGTAGCTTTAGTGAACTATAACCAGGTATAGTGAACTAGAAAAATCCAGGTTTATGTAAGATATAAATCTTTGTGAATCTTATGGAAATGATATGAAATAACCAATGGTAGACCATGGTAGACCCCACTTTTCAAAATAATCATCCATCTGATGGTGAGTTAAACCCCTGTTGTCCAAAAAATTACCCTCTGGCAAACTAACATAGCGAACTGGAAAATCACCAGCTTTAGTAGGCAAATCAACTATACGATGGGTCATTTTCAATAGCAAACTGTTAAATTACCGGAGATTATATAATGCTTCATCATGGTTCATAGTGGTTTAGAATAGTGGTTGATAATGGTTTATGATATTTAACAACTGTTAACCTATCTGAATCATGCTTAATAGTGGTTTACAATGTACAATGATCATGACGCTTAGAGAATATTATGTTTATAAGGCTTAGTTAAGCCACTATAAACCGCTATACAAGCTTGATATGTGCTTAATAAGGCTTATATTAGAGTTAGTGGTTGATAATAGCTCATAGTTCAACATGTGTTAATCAATATTGGTAATAGTGCTCCATAATGGTTGACCAGGGGCAATATGGTTAGGAAAATGTTGGTTCTTTAATGGTTAATTGATGGTTAGTATTTAATGGCTGGTAATGGTCGAACATGGTTCAGAATTGGGTGCAGCAGTGGTTGATCATCAGGTGAAGCCATGATCAATCAGTGGTTGAACAAGTGACAACAACAATGTGGGTCTGCGCAACAATTGGGAATTCACCCCAATATATGACCACCTGAAGATGGTTAAACATTGGATTTTGAACCACATGATGGAGTGCTTTGATGGTTTTTGCACGCTTTTGCACTTTTTCATTTCCAAATCAATTTCCCCAACTTCCAGGTTCAAAACGCCAGTGATTGATCTTGATCGGGTTTGCTCAGGCCGCAGTTGTTGCTTCCAGACCTAGTTATTCAGTTATTCGCAATTATTTGGACCAACTTATCTTTGATATCAATCCCAATTTTTTTTTGGTAAAATCTTAATTTCGCTGGTCAAGTCCCAATTTTTAAAATTGGGGAACTGCCCCTGTTTGGGGCCCCCACCCATAAATTGCCATATATGGTTCTGGAGCATTGATTGCAGGCTTTGAACACGATGAAGCGCAACGATTTCAGGCGCCCGCAATGGGGTTACCCTCTGGTAAGCAAATGTGGCTGGGAAATCCCCTGGTTGGTGGTGACTGGAACCATGGAATTTTGAATGACTTTCCAGAAACAGTTGGGAATTATCATAGTTATATGAAATAATCATCCCAACTGACTATAATATTATCATAGTAATCATCCCAACTGACTCCATCATTTTTCAGAGGGGTAGGTGGCTCAACCACCAAGCAGATTTTCCATAGAGGTTGAGTTCGCTCGGAAAATCATCGGTGGATCTTCCAGGGCCATATTAGTTTCAATATTAGACCAACAAGTCAAAAATTACGCACCTTTTACCATATAAAAAGATGATATTTGCAAGTACTTGCTGGCAAAATGTGGCAGAAGACTTTATTCAACAACATAAAAAATACATTTAATATGGTATTATGTATTATATGGTGTATATTCAAATGCTATTGAAACATACAGTATATCAACACCATATACACAACGTCAATCAACATTAAAAAAAAAATACGGTGTTGATATACTGTATGTTTCAATAGCAAACTTTTCTCCAAGATTTTCAGCGACATTGTTAAGAAAAGCAAAAAGTCAGACAGTGAGATACCAATTTTAGGTCAATTTTAGGTCAATTTTCACCCAACTGGTCGGATTTCAATGGATTTCGTATGGTAAAACCTATGGTAAAACCATCTAAACCCCAGGTTTCAATGGATTTCATCTGGTTTTCATATGGTAAAACCCATCTTTTCCCAACAAAACCTGGGCCAGTGCCTGGTGATCGATGCCGCCCATTGGACCATCAGGCAGGCCACGGCCGCGCAACGTCACGATGCTCCGGTGCCGTGGAGAGTGCGGGCGGCCGAGGCCCTGCGGGTCCTGCGGGTCACCAAAAAACCGTGGAAGGGCCCCAGGGCGTGGAAAATTGAGCCATCCAATTCCATTCATGTGGCTTAATGATGGTTAAATGATGGTTGATAATGGGCAAAAAAAATGGGATAATCATGGATGATAATGGTTAATGATGGTTATATAATCATGGTTAATGATGTTTGATAATGGTTAATGATGGTTAATGATGGTTAATGATGGTTGGCAATGCCCAGTGCATCTTAAAGGGCTGGTTTAGTCTTGTGATCCTTTTGTCATGTGGGTTAATGATGGTTAATCTACCATAAATACCATAATAAAGGTTAATGATGGTTGATAATGGTTAATGATGGTTGATAATGTGGGTTAATGATAGTTAAACATCTTAAACAAAATGTGGGTTAATGATGCTTAATCTACCATAAATACCATAATAAAGGTGAATGATGGTTGATAATGGGCAAAGAAAAATGGGATAATAATGGTTAATCATGGTTAATGGGATAATGTGCGTAAAACAATGCCATAAATTACCCATGACCGGGAAAAAACAATGGTGATGACGGGGGGATAGTTTATTGTTGTTTTATCCACATTAAGCCTTGTAGGTTGAAGATGATTGAAGCAGCACTTTTTTCCGGAGTGAACCAATGGAATTCCCTGTTTTAAGCGCCACATATCTCGATAGAGAGCGGATTTGATATGAGATCACCAGCAAACATTGAGGTTCAAACAACATGTGGATAGAATCAGAAACAAAAAGTGGAGGTGAAAATTGCAACGGAGTATGCAACCCAGCCACCTTGGTTATATGAGTGACCGCTTGGAGAGTAGTATTGGGGCGTACCTTGGTTTGTCGAAAACATCTTGAATAGGCGGTAAAACGAGGTATGAACACCCCGAGAACAAGGTATAGGCATCGCATGTAAAGCATTTAGCTATTAAAAGCGTGTGCGGCGTTGGAAAACGAGGTCAGACCCTCAAAAAACTAGGGGACTGGAGAACGACCCCGTTGATTGCGTCATGTACCAAAAATCGTCCGCGACTCATATAGAGAAGTGAGGATTGCTTTTGAACATCAATTATTTTCAATAATTACTCTTAGAATTACTATTGTTTCAGAAGTGTGAATATATTTCTTTGGATTGTAGGAGCCCCGAAAAAGGTGGAAACAAGTAATTTGCCAATATTTGACTAGGATTTTACTTTTCTACCCTTTTTATGTTTGCCATACTAATTTTAGTGGTTCCTCAGGCTTCCAGACCCCCCAACTTGGCCTAAGATCCAGCAGCTGCAAGGCTGCTCGAAGCGCTGCAGCACCTTACCTCGAGGCGCTCCGTTGAGATTGGGATTGTTTTCATTTGCAAAGTGTTGCTTCACTGCTTCACCTTATTGTTCTGCCGGCTTTAGCACTATGATGAAGAAACAATACTGACAACAATGCTAATTGGGGTTCAACAATGTTGTGCATGTTTCTTATCATATCGATCATACCAGAATGTTATGCACAATGGTCTCCAAATAGATAGAAACATACTACTATAGACTATAGTGTCGTACAATGTCATGCAGAATTACAGAATGGTTTGTAAATATATGGAAATTCTTTCCCTCCAGTAGCTTCTCTGAGGAATCCGTAGTATCATTTCAACCACTGGTTGCCAGCATATCTCCATCCTTCATGATCTACCCGGCACGGCCGTCATCTTTCGGAAGATCCATGTTGTTTCTGATGAGATCTGATGATATTCCTCAGAAACATCAGAAACAACATGGATGTTTCGAAAAATATATCCATATCCATATCAACTCATATCCATTTCTGATGATATTGGTCCATATTGGTCCTTCTCTTCCCTTTTCCATTGCTTGGTTGTTCGTTATGGTCGTCTCCTGCTTTCAAGCCATGGGTGGCCATGATTTGGATGTACAAAATTAGTTTTTTTTTTCCTTTTTTTATGTTTTTTTCGGTAGACCGGAGAAGCGCCGTTTCAAATCAACTGCTCATCACATCCAAATGGAATTTTCCAGAAAAGTGCCAAATTTCCCTACTTTCCACATGATTTTCCCCTATGATTTTCCCATGTTTTTTTCTCATATTTCCCATATATTTCCCCATTTTTTCCTCCATTTTCCACCATTTTTTCCCATCTTTTCATGGCTCCACTTCTCCCCTTTCGTGGTCACCAGGCGCAGCAGCACTACACGCAGACCCTGCCGCAGCTGCACAAAGAAGCCGCCCTGGTGGCGCAGGAGGCGGCGGAGACGCTGCGTGCCTCGGAGATTTGAAAAAGGTGGAGCTGGTGGTTTATGGTAGATTTACCATCTGGTTATGACTAAGAGTTTGCCATGGAAGCCATCACCATGCCAAAAAAAGAACGGTAAACCATCTATATTGATTAGGGCCATCTAAACCATGGCAAACTGTTAAATAACCAGATGGTAACCAAGATAGCTAAGTTGGTTTATAACTACAATAACTAGGGTTTATGGTAGTTCTAACTATAGTTAGATTGGGTCAAAAACCAACTGAAAACTAGGCGGCCCCACATTGTAGATTTAACGAACTAGTTTTCATGCGGTTTATAATGGTTTCTAATTAATACATCATATGGATGAATAAAATCTGGTTGGTGGTGACTGGAACAGGAATTTTATGACTTTCCATTCAGGTGGCAATAATAATCCCAACTGACTCATATTTTTCAGAGGGGTAGGTATACCACCAACCAGAAATGGTTTAATCACTAGAAAATGAGAAGATAAGAATGATGAGATACCTCAAAATCCAATGGTTTAGAAGTTTAGAGCATCATTTTCCCATTTGGATATCGATTTATAATGAAAAATCCGATGAAAACGGTTTTGGGATATGGGTTTGTCTGAAAGATACCTCATGTTATTATTGTTGTTAGCATCAATATGGGAGTTTCCATAGTCATGGGGGATGTTTCATGATGTTTCAACCCTAAAAAATGGGATGATGATCCCTTAAGCGACTATGTAACATTTTTTTCAGGGTGGCTGGGACTAGCTGGGAATGGGGCGGACTCCACACCAGTGGCTTCAATGGAATAGAGGAAACCTGTGGGTCTCTACCATCGAAGAGTGAGTTCCTAGATTTTGTTTCAGGGAATACTTAGTGTTGAACACCACCAGTCATTAAAGTGGTAATTTCTATTTAATTTGCCATGGTTTCTTGCATTTTTTCCCACCCAAAATCAATCCGCTGATCAGTGCTCAGCATTTCAACACGAGGCTTGGAAGCTGAAAATCTGAAAGCAGAGGCGCGGGTATAGATGCCATGGCTACGAAGACGAATCAATCTGCTCAAGATTTGGCATGTGGGTTAGTTACACCTTGTTACCCACTGAGGGGCTCACCAGGGTGATCGCCTAGCTAGGTTGGATGATACTCTATACGTAGTGAACATGCAGTAATGTGGGTAAAACAATGCAATTTTTACCACCCATGACTGGGAATGATAACCATACCACCCAGAAAAGATGGTGAAATTGGGGATGGTTTCCCATTACTAAGTCATTATTATTACTATTATTATCATTATCAATTATTATTATTATCATTACTATTGTTTTACCAACATTACACGAGTTTGCATCTATAGTACCCTCTGGTAATTTTTAACAGTTTGCTATTGAAAATTGCAAATTCATAGTTGATTTACCTGTTAAAGATGGTGATTTTCCATAGTTATGTTAGTTTACCAGAGAGCTACCCCCCAAAAAGATGCAGCAAAATAAACGCTTTTGAATATACCTTGTTTTTGCAATGCCTCGACTTGGTGCTTGTTTCAAATCTACCATTTTCCAATCTACCTGCATTGATGACGACGACGACGGCGACGACGACGCCATGATGATGATGATGATGATTATTATTTTTATTATTTTTATTATTATTGATGATCACTATTGTGACTAAACGAAATGAACAGTTTCGTAGGTTGAAACTACGAAGCAACAGCACATCGAATGGCGGATAGTTGCATCGTCGGTGCCGCAGCCTCTGAACGTGATCCATTTGGTTGTTGATGTATTTGACACCTAGATGCACATACGTACACACACAGATTTTCTATGAAATATGAAAATGGAATTGTATACCTGCAAAGTATCCAGTATATATATATATATAATGTACACATGTAAATATGTATATACATGATTACATGACATATATATATATATATGTATATATATATATAGAATCTATAGTAGTTTCGAGCCTTCGGAAACGTTTCATTGGGTAAAAAAACAGACCTCCCCTCTCAGTTGGCAGCCATGGACAGCAGCCGCCGGGCGCGCCGGGGTGTGACGGATGACTCCATGGACTCAGAGAGAAAGCGGTTTCCTGGTGAATTTCTCTGTGAATTGATGGGAAAATTGCTAAACAGTTGGTTGATGATTAGTTTTGGGGATGAATGGTTAACCCAATATAATGTGGTCAATGGATTGGTTTAAGGGAAAAAAAAAAGACCGGAAACCCCTATATTTCATGGGAAAATCGATGATTTCCAGTTAAGATTTATTTACCAATCCATTGAGCATTGAGCCAGTAGGATTGTCCGGTGGAAATTCCTACCAAAGTACCCTCATATACCGGTGTTTCCTATAAGTTTTCCCTTTAACGTAGTCCTGGAATGTCCTGGAGTCAGAGAATATCCATGGTGGGTAGTTGCAAGCAACCCAGATTTTTCCATCCGGGTTTGATATCGCTCAGTATTATTCACTGTCTATTCCTGACCGGAGTTTTCCCCCGTCAGCCCCCAGGCCGCGATCTGCACCTGCCTCGCATGCGCCTCATGAACCAAGAGGGGAAGGAAAGTATTTGGAGATCAAAGGCTTGGATGGATCTACCTTTCAGCTCGAGGTTGTTGATGATGCAACCATTCAAGATGTTTACAAGAACATCTCAGAGAAGATCGGGCTGAAACCAGGCACCAAATTGTTGCTGACTTCGGGCTGCACTATCATGGATTATTCCAGACCGCTGCTGCAGCAAGTGCAGCGTGGGGAAATTAGTGTCATTGTCCAAACAATCAGCTTGAATGACTTCGCAAAAAGCTTTTGGAACGCCATCGAAGCTGAGACTGAAGGATGTCTCACTGATGAAGATGTGAACACGCTACATGCAGCTGCAGTTGTTTCAATGCGATTGGGCGCAATGTTCAATCACAGTTTGGCAGGTGTCCATTGCCAAGCAGCCTGCAGACCTTGACCTTTGGAAGTTTGTTCAATCAGAGTTTGGCAGGTGTCACATTGCCAAGCAGCCTGCAGACCTTGACCTTTGGAAGTTTGTTCAATCAGAGTTTGGCAGGTGTCACATTGCCAAGCAGCCTGCAGACCTTGACCTTTGGAAGTTTGTTCAATCAGAGTTTGGCAGGTGTCACATTGCCAAGCAGCCTGCAGACCTTGACCTTTGGATATTCGTTCAATCAGAGTTTGGCAGGTGTCAAATTGCCAAGCAGCCTGCAGAGCTTGACCTCTGGAGACTCGTTCAATCAGAGTTTGGCAGATGTCACATTGCCAAGCAGCCTGCAGACCTTATCCTTTGGAGATTCGTTCAATCAGAGTTTGGCGGGTGTCACATTGCCAAGCAGCCTGCAGACCTTGACCTTTGGAGGTTTGTTCGATCAGAGTTTGGCAGGTGTCACATTGCCAAGCAACCTGCAGACATTGACCTTTGGAGACTCGTTCAATCAGAGTTTGGCAGATGTCACATTGCCAAGCAGCCTGCAGACCTTATCCTTTGGAGATTCGTTCAATCAGAGTTTGGCGGGTGTCACATTTCCAAGCAGCCTGCAGACCTTGACCTTTGGAGATTTGTTCAATCAGAGTTTGGCAGGTGTCAATTTGCCAAGCAGCCTGCAGACCTTGACCTTTGTGGATAAGTTCAATCAGAGTTTGGCAAGTGTCACATTGCCAAGCAGCCTGCAGACCTTAACCTTTGGACGTTCGTTCAATCAGAGTTTGGCAGGTATCACATTGCCAAGCAGCCTGCAGAGCTTGACCTTTGGGTATTTGTTCAATCAGAGTTTGGCAGGTGTCAAATTGCCAAGCAGCCTGCAGACCTTGACCCTTGGTGTTTGCTTCAATCAGAGTTTGGCAGGTGTCACATTGCCAAGCAGCCTGCAGACCTTGACCTTTGTGGATGAGTTCAATGAGAGTTTGGCAGGTGTCACATTGCCAAGCAGCCTGCAGACCTTGACCTTTGGATATTCGTTCAATCAGAGTTTGGCGGGTGTCACATTGCCAAGCAGCCTGCAGACCTTGACCTTTGGAGATTCGTTCAATCAGAGTTTGGCAGGTATCACATTGCCAAGCAGCCTGCAGACCTTAACCTTTGGACGTTCGTTCAATCAGAGTTTGGCAGGTATCACATTGCCAAGCAGCCTGCAGAGCTTGACCTTTGGGTATTTGTTCAATCAGAGTTTGGCAGGTGTCAAATTGCCAAGCAACCTGCAGACCTTGACCTTTGGAGATTCGTTCAATCAGTGTTTGGCGGGTGTCACATTGCCAAGCAGCCTGCAGACCTTGACCCTTGGTTTTCAGTTCAATCAGAGTTTGGCAGGTGTCAATTTGCCAAGCAGCCTGCAGAGCTTGACCTTTGGGTATTTGTTCAATCAGAGTTTGGCAGGTGTCAAATTGCCAAGCAACCTGCAGACCTTGACCTTTGGAGGTTTGTTCGATCAGAGTTTGGCAGTCACATTGCCAAGCCGCCTGCAGACCTTGACCTTTGGATATTCGTTCAATCAGAGTTTGGCAGGTGTCACATTGCCAAGCAGCCTGCAGACCTTGACCTTTGGAGATTTGTTCAATCAGAGTTTGGCAGATGTAACATTGCCAAGCAGCCTGCAGACCTTGACCTTTGGAAGTTTGTTCGATGAGAGTTTTGCAGGTACCACATTAATCCAAGCAGCCTGCAGGCCTTGACTTTTGGTTCACTGTGGTGGGACGCACAAATTACTTGGACCTTTTCGAAGACGAAAAATAGGTCGATGGGCTGGTCACTGCGGATTAGTCTTTGCAGTTTATGTGTTTTTTAAACAAACACTGTGTACTCTTTTCATCGTAGATTCTGGTGCTGTTTCCACACTAGTTAGTTGTGCAAGATTGATACTTTTTGTTGGTGGTTGCCGCCGTATCTACTCACACCTGTTGAAGTCGCTCCGACTCTGGTTAATGTTGAGACTGGCTTGACTGGCTTGGGGGAAGCTTCAGGTAAAGTCGCTCCATCTTGCGTTCACGTGCGCGGGAGCAGTCATAGCAGTCATAGCAGTCATAGCAGTCATAGCAGTCATAGCAGTCATAGAGTTAAGTTTGCTAAAAATTGCTAAAACAATGTCCAAAAGAAAGTAAGAAATAAATAAGACAGTGAAAGAAAGGAAAAGAAATGTCAAAGGAGAGAAAGTGAGCGATGGGTGGAGCAAGTGAGCACATTGGACCACGTTCGTACCTCGTTCACATCTCGTTCGCACCTCGTTCGGACCTCGTTAAATTCGCCAGGCATGTTCAGCCAAAGGCAGATTCAAGCATGCCCCCAAACTTGTGTTTTGATATTCCTATTCAACATGCGTTCACAGTGGGTTTGGCACCGGAAACCACACAGATACAGATTCAAAGACGACGCCTGTAAGGCTCTTTTTACGATCCTGATGATATCTGTGTTCACAATATGTTTTCCTTGATGAAATGCAGCCAAAGATATTCCATAGCATATATTTTCATGACCCCCACGAAAGCTGCGTTCACAATGGGATTTGCACCATAAAATTATGTTATATAAAAGTATTTCAAAACATATTTTCTTTGACTATGGTGCAACTTGCGTTCTCATGGGGTTTTACCATTTTCAGAATGTCCCATTTCAAACTTTTATCCAAAAATCGTTTGCGTTCCAATGGCGGAACTTGTTGGTGTGACTTTTTTTTACATGTTGATGTGCGGAGTTTCATGGGGAGTTACAAACTTGGTGTGATTTCTGCGGTTTCCAGCATGCGTTTGTCGGTGAACTTCATAGTTTGATAGGTTGCACATTTCCATAAGCCCTGTCCTTCAGTCGTGTACGAGCTGCATCCGTTTGATGGAGGTAATTGGAAGTGATTCATTCCAAAATATGTAGTATTATGTATTTGGATCAACAATGAATTTACTATTCTAATTTACTACTGGATTAGTATAAAATAGTATATATAATATATATAAATATGAATCCTCAAATCTATTGTTCAACCGGTTCTGGAACCATTTTGGTTTCTATCAGAATTGTGGCTTCCTTGTTGTCCCAGAAAACCAGCAACCTATCTTACGGAATGGAACACATTATATAGTCATCTAGAATTTCTGGCGAAATCCCTATGCTGTTTCTTTTTGTGTGTAAGAAACATGGTGTCCTGCACTTTTCCCTGGAACCAAGCCAATGCGCCAAGGCGCACGTTGTACTAAGAGGATTTCCTGATGTCATAATAATCATATCATATTTGTGCGTGTGTTTTTGTGTGTCAAATATAGTGTTGAATTTCAAGATCTTGTCGAAGGAAAAGAAAATAGACTCAATAGACGATGCATGTCATTGAAACTTGGGCTTTGATATGGCTATGGATCAATACCTATACATACCATTTTTAGGGGGATGAACATCCATTTACCAGCTATTTTGATGTTCACCAGGGGTACAAGGTTTTGACCCATCCCCATATGGTTCAATATGTTTCAATGAAAAGAAATTGGGATATTTTTTCACACCGAACATGGCCGCCTTGGGCCGGTATGAAACATGGGATCCCAGGTCAACCACGCGATTTTGGACGACAATGGGGATGGTGAAAACACCCAACTAGCCTCTGGTAAACGTTTGAAAATGACTATGGAAAATCACGATGCTATTCATGGGTAAATCAACGAACTCAATGGCTATGTAGAACACATTTTTTTGCATGTTTACCAGGCCGGGTAAGTCAACCACTTGGGTGTTTTTTTTCTACGATGATCCCATGGGGAACTGATCCATGTGTTGATTTTACCCTCTAGAGCTCTGGTAATCAAAGAATGGGAACTTTATTTTCATGACCTCATTTTGCGACCTCACGAAAAACAATGGTGGTAAATGCTCGGAAAATCATCCCACATGAGCATTACTGGTTGGTGGTTTGGAACATGAATTTTATTTTCCATAATATATGGGATAATCCTTCCCATTGACGTTCATATTTTTCAAGATGGTTAAAACCACCAACCAGGCATTAATTCAGGTTGGTGAATTACTATAAGTTACTCATTAAAAATGGGAAATCCCCGAAACAAATACGGAGGTCAAAGCATGGTAAAAGCATCAACAATTTTGCTTTTTGGATGTTCCGTTGCCACGGTTTGATTACCGGAGGGTATGATAAAAAACATGAGGATGATGATTATGTTGAAGAAGATTGTTGATCATTATTGATGTATGTTTAGAATTGTGTGTATGATATATATATATATATATATTAGCTACAGCCTATAGGCCTCTGTTAGTCTGGCCCCTCAAAACGAAGGCAACAGGCACTGGCAATGAGTCGACGGCAGGACAACCAAATGACGACAGCAATGTATCGGCACGCCAACGGCAAGGCAATTAAAGGGCGACGGCATGGCAACGGCATGGCCACAGCATGGCGACGACATTGCGACGACATGGCGACGACATGGCGACGACATGGCGACGACATGGCGACGACATTGCGACGACATGGCGATGACGTAATGACAACATGGCGGCGGTGCGGCGACGACGACGACGCCAATGGCGGCGAAGCAACGGCGAAGCAACGGCGATAACAACAACAAGGGGCAACCTGCCTGCCCCATCATGCTCAATCACTGTTAGCCCTCCATCTTGGCAGAGTGTGATGCTATCTTTGGGTGTGTGTGCGTGTGTGTTTGTTAACGTGTTTTCTCTGCATGATGACTAGTATATATAATATACTATATATATACGTTGTTTGCTTTTGTGGGTCCTGGAGTATTGATTATTTT